CTGACTCCTTATTTGATTTGACTTCCGGTTTAATTTCATACACCGGCCAAGATAATAACGGGACGAGAGTTAAACGCTCCTTCTCTTGCTCTCTCTCTCTCTCTCTCTCTCTGACTCCTTATTTGATTTGACTTCCGGTTACGACCTCTCGCACCAACCAGCCCATCCGGGAAACTTATCGGTAGTAAACGCAAATTGGAACCTTCCGCAAAGTCGAATTAGAACGGCACCCTAACTTAACCTACAAAACCACCAATAGCAAAGGCTGCGATAAGATTTTTTTTTTGTATATATATGTATACGCAGGTATAAATCTATATAGGGCGTCAAAAAAAAAAAGTTTCAAGAACTCTTTTACCTCTTAGACGCTAACTAAACTTCTTTAGGAAGGATTATCCTATTTTCGCTCTTCTGTCCCAGTCTCTCTTTGAGACTCTTTTCAGTGGGAAGTAACCGGTTACTCTCTCTCTCTCTCTCTCTCCCCCTTTCTCCTTTCCCTTTAGGGTCTCCGGCGAACACTATTGCACGTAGATACCCTAGCGGAAAGCCTGAAGCTTGTAAATATTCTAAAGCTTTCACCGCGGTGGGTCTTGTCGCAAACTTTGAAGCCCAAGTCTCTTCGCGTCGAATGCCTGACTTTGTTTGGCATTAACCCGCATTATCTCGGAGAGGGTTATTCTCGCTGAATAACCATCCCCTGCGTAACTCCTACGTCTTACATTTATCCGTCTACGCGTCACAATGCTTAATGCGTATGAGGATATAAAATTATAATGCCACGATTAATAAGGACGACTTACAATTGGTCTGTTCAATTAATTTGAATCTTGTTAACGTTCTAATGCGCATGCGCGCAACTAAACGATTTGCCGATTCAACGTTCGCCAAGTGAACCAAAGTGGATGGTAACACGTTTTACATATAGGCGAGTTAACGCTGCTGCGTCCTACGGTAATTTACTCGGCAAATAGAAACACTCTTATTGAATTACGCGTACGAATGAATCTGCGCATGCGCTTACTCGTTGGACTTGTTAAATAGTTCGAACCTGACGCGGACTTTAGTTATCGGATTGGTGGTAGTTTCCACGAATCGACTTTACCGCCTCAAAGACATTTCACGAAACTTTAATGCCCTTTCGGAATTCTCCATTACGCTTTTTTTTTTTTTTTTTACGGGTTTCCTTCCTTTATACACGTGTCAATGACGCTGGGTAGACAAATTAGTTTGACCTCTGACCTGTCACCCTGAAAGAATCGAACATCGATTAATGAAACATGACGATGCGTATTCGCGACATATTGCGTTACCTAATTCTTCAGTAATTCTGAAGGGCAGACATTTATTTTTTATTATTTCATAAAATTTAGTAAAATCATTATACCGTTTTTCTTTGATTGCCTCTTATCCTCCGTGGAAATTGAATTTCTATGATGCAATCATCAAGCTGCATAATTTTCATAAAATTTTAATAGTTCTTCAAAATACTTGATGTCACCGTCGAACAGGTAGAGCTGGCTTGTTTTCGTATTCCAGAATTGATAACGAACTTTATAGGTTGGCACCCTGTGTGTACACGAAAAGAATTGATTTATTGATACTTTCAAAGACTTATTTCATTTCTACGCGAATACCACAATTACAGCTAGAATACCCAGCAATTGAAGCGTCTACTTAATATAACGAAAAATAAAAATTCTTAATTTACCATGAATTCTCCGGAGAAACAATTAGACTCCCTCTATAGCGTTCTTCGCGTTCCCCACGTGCTCCGGGTTATCCAAATGAACGTAACGTGCCATTAACCTGACTGAGTGCAACTATCTGCATCGGAGAGATGAGACGATTTTACAGTTGAACTATTTCCAGAGTGTAGATTCTTCGCGTGGATACCTCCTAACGGTGCATTTTCATCGAAACTTCCGGAAAACGTATTAACTCGCGACAAACACCTCAAGCCGCCAGATAGTCGTGGTTCGTATAAGGGTCGTTGTGCGTCGCCACCGACATGCAACAAGTTGCCTTCCCTAGCGAACCTCCAGGCGCCGCTGCGCTACCATCCCTTCCATCCCTTCCATCGCCTCCTTCCTTCCCCTTCCGTTCTCCGAAGTACCGAGCATTAAATCATTTTTAAATGTCCTCGCGATCGTACTTTGACTTTTATTCGAAGCGATAAAAGTTAAAGCTTCTTTCGATCATTAATTCTCCTTCGCGTCAATTTTTATTCTGCCAATCCCCGTTTAACGTAATAACGTAAAACCAATTATCGTACCAACGAAATTCAATTGGCTGCCAATCGACGTAAATTTCGAGCAATAGTTTAGCGAGTCCTTCTACAGTAACAACCGGAAGTGTCAAGAGTCATCGATTATGTTTTCCTGTAGATTCACCATTTGTGCCAGCCTTTTAGAAGCCCCGGGCTACGCCGATTGGTTACAAAGTGAAAACTATGCAGAGAATTTAGAAGGGTTAGCAGAGACGAAGAGGCAGAAAGGGTTGGCAGGGTGGTGCTGGTCGTTAGAGTTTCCCAGTAGCATTGCAGAACGTGATGCTCTCTCTCTCTCTCTCTCTCTTCTATAAGCATTGTAGCAAAAGCTGCTTGTAATAACAGCAAAGCCCTCGGTTCACTGTCAAGACCCCCCGCAGTCCTGAAACAGGACTGGTTGACGTACGGATTGATGGATTGATTGATTGATTGTTTGGTTTAACCAGCACTTGCCAGTGTACCCGCGAATATTACGGAACCGCCCTGTGTTAGCCGGATATACATATACGTACAAATACGCTAATATATATCTATACACACCCAACGGATAACCCGGTGTATCCTCCTGCCGATAACTACGTCATCAAACAGTGAGTGACGTAGCCACAAAATTGCTCCGCCATTAACGCATCCCTCGCGAACACGTGGACGCTCCAATCTTGATATCTTCCATAGGTGTCGCAGACCATCCTGGGACCATGAAGACGAAGACCCGAAGGTATCCCCAGGTACTCCCGTTAGCTTCTGCAACGTTAACCAAAGTATTAAAATAAAAAAAGAAAATAAATGCATGAATTAAAGAAAAACAAAATGAAATTGAGGCAACTTACCCAAAACTATAGCCACCAGAGATTTCTCGAGTCATCCCGATCATTCCACGCAAACCCTCTTGACAAAGGTCCACCTCTACCCGAACCTTCTGACAGTTTCATAGTATCATCAGGATTACCCGGGAATCCTTGAGCAGCTTAGGCACATATATTTGGATACATGCAATATCCATGTAATATGTATAACACACAGTAGACACCGAGGACGGCTGAGGTCCCTGCATGGCGCTGGAGCTTTCAATAGGAAGGGTTAGTGCCTCGTGTGTGTTCCTGGATACATATACGAATAAAGGAGGGGGAAGGGTTGAAGCTGCAACGGGTGGCAGAGGCACATGGAGGGTTAATGCATCAACATCAAAGTGGTTTGCCGGTACAATTATTGTACTGAACGCGACTACCGTATGACGTACATGCGACTGTACACTGAGTGAGTGAGAAACAATAACCAAAGGAGCAAGAGAGAGAGAGAGAGAGAGAGAGAAAAAGAATTTAGTCCCAGTGCGGAAGCAGAAAACGCTCGTATATTACATTCTTTCACGTTTAGCCAGTCAGCCATCAATTTAAAAAGTATGCAAACCACAGAGAGGGTCTCCGACCTTTCTTTCTCCCTCTCGTGCTTTCTCTTTCTCGCCACACACTCTCTCTCTCTCTCTCTCTCTCTGTACAGGCTCAGAGCAAAATCTCATATCATCCTGGGAAAACAATACACGCTAGAGCGACGCCGGCAACGGTTGTCGCAACAACCAGACAACCACTGTTTACCCTTAAGCAGCCTTCCATGAAGAAGATACATCGGTATATACATACAGTGTCGCTATCATGGATATGTCGCGTGGCAGCTATAGGACGTAATTCTCAAGCTCATCCTCCAGCCTCGACCTCCCGGTACAACTTCCCTCCTCGCACCCTGTTATTGCTACCCTCGACTCAAGGGTAGAGAATATTCACGCCTCGGGATATCGTTCGTTGAGTATCAACCCCCGTACCTCTTGCCCCTTATGTACAGGAATTGCATGTGACTCTGCGCTACGTATATCTATACATTCTACTGTTTGCGTATACATGTAGATTATTCTAGGGGTGCGTTGCCCCTGCTGCCTCCTCGCTGTAACGTTGCCGCATTGAAATCTGCACGAGGAACGCGATTTCGTTCGAGTGCGAAATTAGATGTGCTCGGTGCCGGAAATAACGCTAAGTTTTGATCAACGCTTCTCATATGGGATTATACCTATGGATACGTGCCTCGTGGGTATTAATATATCGTATATCTACGTAAGGGGGAGGATGCATCACGGTTCCTAATGGTCAGCGACAAATGCGCCTGACATATGCGGACGTCACTCTTCTAGTTGTCTGACCGTGTCGGATTTTCACTACTACTTTAGTTTCGTCCTCTCGAAATTTCCTCGCGCTTTAACGGCAGGACTTTACGCTCTGGTAAATAACCCACGTTATTTCCGTAAATCTTATTCGTCTCCTGTGACGCGTGCAGGAGAATTACGGTATGATAGCAAGAGACGTACTACTGAAATGCGATATTGGCTACTGAGTATAAAGTATTATAACATATGTGTATTATGTAACTGTAGCATATATATACGATATACATACAATACAGACTGGATAAGTTAGGTATCTGATACTCTTTGTATACGATTTCAGGACAATAGGGAAACAAGTATGTGCCATGTGTTATACTGTATATCGGGATAACGCGGGTGAATACGGAAATCCGGAAATATTCGCTTTTCTTTATTGCTACCTTCCTATAGGAGAGGCGCCGGATACTGCCGAGGGAATTTCGTTCCTTCCTTGGATTTCTTTGATAAGAAATTTTTGTTTTCTCTTTTACGGATACATTTTATAACAGCTTGACAACGGTTAGGCTAGTACGTGGAATTTGTCTTGGCTTGCCGTTAACAATGCTTTCTATATGCAGAATAATAATTCGCACACTCAGACCGAGATCTCTACTCGAACTTGCCTATCCTATAATTATTCCATCCACGCTTGGCTCTAACGAGATTACGGGTCATCTACATAATTAAAATAATGCACTCGAGATAATCACCCTAATTAGCTATAACCGCTCATTTGAGACTGTTGGAAAGCGGAGAACCTTTCGCTCGGTCTTCTCGGGTTACTGCCAGTGGACGGCATCGGTTATCTGTAAAATAGATAGGTTATATAAGTTATCTCGGTATTACGTGATAAGGATACAAAGAGGAAAGTATCTCCGGGATATACAGACACTCGAGTCTAACGTAAGACCATTTTATGTAACTCTTAGAAAAGACTCGATATGGGGTTGAATTGAATTTAGGCAAACTGGCTTAAAGTTTTAGACGGATGTGTGTACGAAAAACTACACAAGAGATTCTGCGAACACAGATCCAGGCTGCACGTGTGTAGACATTCGAGTTTGTCTAGAAGATTTCTAGTCTGGTCGGCTAACTAGATATCTATCTGGGGTACGTAGGCTACATGCCTTTTACCTAGCAGGTAGTACGGTTAGTACGTAGGGGGGTAGTTTTAGCTCAGTTGAGTGTCCGTTATATGGGGGTCTGGGCATTCTGATTCTGCTGACCGCTGTACCCCGCAATCCACCGACTCCCGCGGCTACGTGGTCCGCCTCTAAACCGCCCCTTCTCTATGCCAGTCTGTGTGGAATACCCTTATTTCATCCCCTAGCTATTCTAGCCGTCTAGGTTCCTCCCTTCTCTGCCATTCCACTGTACCTAATATCACCTATCTCGTCAGGCTCTGCTGACGAACTGAACTTTTTTCTTTGGATTTCACTATGTACATACGTGCCACCTAAAATTTCCCTAGGTCATCAATTTCTTTACAGCACTGACCGTGAACGTGAAAATCTTACTAGAGGCACGTGGCCGGAACTTCTAGAGGGTTCAGTGGCCTTGGTTTAATTGCCGAGAAGGAACCCGGTAAGCGGGTGCTTATGTATTTCCTGGGTAATTTAGTGTTCGGTCTGACAACTGATAAGAAGTGATTTGATAAAGTGAAAAGCGACCTGGTGCGAGTAACAATGTAGAAACGGTTTCACTTGTCAGAGGTAGAAAGGTATTTTGCTTCTGTTTCAAATATACGCGTTGCCTTTGATGCATTAGCGTCTCCAAGTATCAGTTGTTCGCTGAGGCTCTTGAGCTGAAAACAAAATAATTTCTTTATATAATATAAACCTGGAGCTAGGATTGTATCTTGTGAAACTTAACCCTAAAGTATTGCCAGTAGCGGTACGTATCCCTTGAAACGTCTTTTAACCAGGCAGCTAGCAAATGGCGCCATTGATATAAAATATCAAAGTCCTTCGGGTTCATCCCTCTTATAAATTTTGCAATCTGGGTAAAACTTTTGATCGTATTGAAAATGGATACCTTCCGTCTTCCCCCTGAAGTCAGCGGCAGATCCGAATAACCCAGTGCTACGGTGTCCTGAATAGTGAACTAAACTCCTTCTAGCAATAAGTTCAGCCGGGAAGTAGACAGTCAGACACCCCAATGGCGTTTAGCGGTAGAAAAGTCAAAAATTCAAACCGACTGTCTTAGCGTTTCCCTGTCGAAGCCCTTCTTCACTCCCTAAAAAAAAAAAAATAAAAGTATCTTAGTCTGCAAAACCGAGGAGTCCTTCGTTCTTTCGCTTCCACGGTTTCCGGATGTTTCCTCGTAAATCTCATGAATCCACCCTGGTCCCACAGTCGAAGACTAGACTCGAGGAGCTCAGAGACAGCGAGACCGAAGAGGGTAGAAAAATAAGGCGTAAGGGGGATCGAAAGCCTAAAAATTTCAAGAGACACGAAAGAGTCGTATAGGCCAAAGTTTTGCAGCCTCGCAGTTAGCGGATGACGCGCAGTCTTTTTCCTAAGGTACCTTCTAGCTAACTGCATCCATCTACCTGACGTAATATTGCGTTATGTATGTCTGACGCGTCGCGACGCGTACCTATCGACGTCAGCGACGCCTCCCTGGAGGTTCTAACCTCTATTGCTGTCTTCTTGCTACTCTGCCCCTTATACAGGTCCTACTATGCAGTATACGCACGTAACACGTTCCTAGTGCTGGTACCAACCTAACCAACCGAAGGAACCAGGGTACAGGATGAAACCAAGTACCGTAGCTATATTTCTAGGTAACGTATAGCACATAGAGCTGCTACATTAGTGAGACAATGCCGAGTTTATCTCCTTGCCTAGAATGAGCCTGTAGCATTTGAAATAGATAGGAGATATTATCAGTCCCGGGAATAATGCCAATTTGGAATGGTTGACTGTCGACGATTTCCGGCCATTCGGTTTATTCCCTGAAACAGAGTATATACATTTACAGGATACGATATGCTATGCTCAGAGGACAGATTGTGAGGTTAGGAGATGGAATTATCGTGGGCTAGATGGAAGATGGAAAAGGATACCGTAAGATGCTCACCCAAGAAAATTCAACCATGAGAAATGGAACGAAGTGGCTGAACTTCTGTCAAAGGTCGGATAAAGCGTCAATTTCTTGACACTTTCTCGATTCCAGGTGGACATGTACCAATCTATCAGCTCACTGCCTGCATACACCTATAGATACCTTGGTATTCAGATACCTGGGGCTCCACTTTTCCAAACAGAAATTCGAGATGCTAATGAAACTTCCTTGTGGATGGTTTTCGCAATTGAAACTTCTTATCGGCGAATACCTTTGCTCGTTTGTAAAAATTCCGCCACGTTATCAGACACTGTAACACTTAAGTATAGTATGTAAAGCTGTGCGAAAAGTTTCGCTGCTTCGTGCAAATGGCGAAACATGTTAAATTGTCTAGAATAAATGCATTACACACTATTCAGAATGTGTCTGGTGCCAGAGTTTGTAATTCCCGTCTTAATGGGCTTGGATCCTTTGTCCGATGTGTATAGAGCCTCAGCTATTTTTTTTATCTTCATCCCAAGAGAAGTTTGTCTGCATTTAGTTGGAATTGAAATCGTCGTGACTTAATCGTGAGCCTGGCAATAAAGAGAAAAAAAAAAGATATCAGACACAGACTTGTCAAGATACATTCCGTCGCATATCACGTGATCATTGATACAATGAAAATACAAATATTCCTTTTTTCAGATAACAATTTCAAATGACAAGCTTCAAAAAGAAAAATTGTAAAGTATCAATATTCGATAATCTGATAAATCGTTAACTCGCCTCGGGCACACTCTTATCAGTACATAACCATGTGCCAGTATCATGAGCATCGCCTGTACATAGATATCCTAGATGCTCAGTCTATAATCGAACCAGCCTTTTCAAAGGGTTTTGAAGTCTCTTCGGTTTTCCCGCCTGACAGCTTCCACCCTGCATCACAATACTTCTCCAATTTCCTTGGCAAAAGTTACGGGACACATTCCATCACGACGTCAGGTGAACAAAGCACGTCTCCTCCCCTCTGCATCCCCTAGACTTTTCGTTTCTCCCTCTAGACTGGCTCGTGCCTTACTGGTTTCCTTCCCTGCTGCGATACCTTCTTCTGGGCTATCAGAATCTTTCTGAATCTTTTGGTACCAACTCTCCAACTTTCATTCTTATACAGCGACTGAAAAAGAGAGAGAGAGAGAGAGAGAGAGAGAGAGAGAGAGAAATTAATCTTAACGGTACACGCACTTAGTTCGAATAAATCAGAACGAATGAATTGAGACACCCTTGATAACGTCACTTTGACAAGCGCTGCTACGGAGACATTCGATCGTCGAGCTACCCTGTACGACAACATCGGTAACGTTCTTTCTATCCCGTCAGCTTTTGGGACTGTTTACACTTTATATATAAATATGCATTGTGTCCCAATCCAGTCTAACTCAATTTAATTGGTGTTACACTCGGACAGTGTCAGCGTCCTCTGGGTCAGCCTGAATAATTCTGAAAATATAGTCTTTCTAGAATATTTTCAATGAACAGTTAATACATGGGCGACCAGGAGGGCCCCGACGGCAATTAAAGTAAATGAATATTATGCATACCCAAACATTCCTACGTGATCAACCCTTGCATATAAATATTTTTCTAATAATTTCTATTACGCCAGACCGTACTATCTTAGAAGATTTTATCCTTTTGTACAGATTACTATCGTGTTTCCTTCCCTTACCCTCTCGTTCCCTTCCACTCTCCTGGGAATACTTTGGGCTCAGATAGTTACGGTTAATGAAGCTATGTAACGTCGAGTAGCAACCCGCACTTCAGGAGTCACAAAATTTATTAATATTAAAACGCGCAAACGTTACCGGGATTTCTAATAAGGCCGTGCTTACAATTAGAGATTTTACAGGATCAAGAAAGAAGAGAAGAAGGGACCAGACTCTCTTATAAGAATTTATCAAGCCAATCCATTCCCATAGTCAATGAACGCTTTGCATTGAATAATTGACATAACAATGCTATCCTAAGTATCAAGAATCCAGGGTGTCCTTAACGTCCCTCATACAATTTTAAGGACGAAAAATATGTAATAAAGAAAATTGTCCCACGGATCTTTATCTCCTGTGTCCAATGGACACTTCAATCTCAATTCGTCATATCGTCCCGACCAGCAGGATCTCCAGGTCGTCATGGAAGGCCAATCTCGAGACACTGCTAATAAAGTTCTTTAGTACCGTTCGTGACGGAAATCACAGGGTAGGCCCACCGTAAACTCGGCGTTCTGCCATCGTAATACAAAATTAATGTCCGTCACGTTGGCGCTAATAAATCGTGACGTTGAAAGCGCGTCTCCTCGTCATTTCTTTTTCATCCAGTGGCGGAGAGCTAAAAATTTTCCACGAAATAACTACTAACTCAATGTAAGTAACCTTACCCCGACAATTACTTGCTGTATTATATAATCCACTGTATGTTCTCTGCGCGCTATACTCCAGAAGACCCATATCGACGGAAATGTCGAAGGTAAATGCCGCTTCCGTGGAAATTAGTTTAACCCCGTCGTAGAAACTCGCTAAAATGACGTCCCATGAACGTTCCTGAAATACGAAAAGTTCGTGATGAAGTATCGACGATTCTCCAGCATCTAGACAGTGAGATAATTATAGTAGCGAATAGTTTACTGAATGCTGAACACTGAGCAGTCTATTCTCAATACTTATAGTTGCTATAATTTTATAGAACACCCTATATGTATAGTATATGAGCATGACTATAGGATTATATGTAGGGTTATCGATAAAGTCACAACCAAGTTAGTCCCACCATACAAATCGGATGGACAGGCTAACTTCAGACGGAACGTTTGTCGTGAATGACTCTGTGTTACGTTATTTTGTAAAAGATGCACTCATTACATTAATGCACGTACGTTTACCTAGTATAGATTTCCACGTGTGAAATGATGCTCATAAAGACTTGCAGGCCTTGGAAATAACTATGTTGCAAGGAGCCCGAGCAATTTCCAAGGAACGTAACGCATTCAATTTGCGCAGGTGTTCACGTAGCGTTCTCAATATTCAAAAGGCTCTTGCGGCAAGATCGTAAACTTCTTATTGCTATTGATATTCAAGGCTGGATAGTCATTCTGCATTTTATATATATATCTGGGTGTGTGTCTGTATATATATATAGCTCTCGCTTGGAAGTTCTTCTCCAGGAATTTAACCCGTTTGCTACCAGCGTCACATACGTGCATCAATTTGTAAAATTGCTTATTTCACTTATTTAGAATGTTAGAAATATATCCTACGAAAATTAATAACAATTGGTATCATATTAATAGGATAAAACGTATTTCTCGTTCACGTATTTGGAGAATGCCATCCTCATCAGGAATTTCCTAGAAGAAATAAGAAAGGATAATGTCAAAGGAAAGAAAAGCGAAATAAATAAAATAAAGTCAGGAATCTACCTTTAATGATTCCGATGAGGATGAAACCTGAAAATCAAGATTGAGCTTCGCGGTTGAAAGGACCAAGTCGATCCCGTCATCCTGGCAGATATTTTAATGGAACTTTGAACTTAAGATATTTTGTTGAACGAAGACGAGCCAGCCAAGTGTTTATAATGAGATGTTAATGGAGTGGGCGTAAAAAAAACCCAGGGGTCACGTCACGGTATCGACAGATTCGCTGTCTTGTGCTTGTCTCTCTCTCTCTCTCTCTCTCTCTCTCTCTCCTAGTGACAGTCCAGCGCCCCATGGCTACCCTCCTCCTGGAGTACCTACTCGAAGGCACCTTTTACAACCCGCTGCTGCCTCATCCGCGTGCCTCTCACTTCCTAGTGACAGTCCAGCGCCAGGGGTCACGTCACGGTATCGACAGATTCGCTGTCTTGTGCTTGTCTCTCTCTCTCTCTCTCTCTCTCTCTCTCTCCTAGTGACAGTCCAGCGCCCCATGGCTACCCTCCTCCTGGAGTACCTACTCGAAGGCACCTTTTACAACCCGCTGCTGCCTCATCCGCGTGCCTCTCACTTCCTCGTAATCTATTTTGTCTCCTGCAGACTTCGTAAAATGTCTGCCGACCAAATGAACTTTTCTTAAGACCTCTCGCCTGCTATCGGCGTTCGTTAACCTCCATATTATTCGCAATTATTGACTTACGTAACATCAACTTACATTCAATCAGCATCCGAAATCTTCCTTGCGATAAGTGCTACTATCACTTATGCACAGGACGCGTGAAGATACGAGACTGCCCTTTTATTTGTTTTTTTTTTGCTTTACCATCAAGCCTGACATTTTCACTTTCTCTTATCTCACACTCATTCGCCTTCCGGATATTAAAAAATGGCTAGGTTTTCTGTGTGATAAAGTGTACCTAAATCTTATTACATGAAATTCTTGAAGATTTTTCTGATTTACAGGTTAGGTACGATAAATTCCTATGTGTATAGTCATACGGCTAATAACCTCGACTTAAGAGAAATTGTGACGTGAATCGAACGCGTTTCAACTGAAATAACATTTATGTGGATCACAAGCGTGTAAACTGGTGGACTGATAAGAAATAACCCAGTATACTGGACGAGCATTACTGCGCGAAAGCATTAGATAGCGAATGTTAGGTTACGGTACAATGCAGCAGAGAAAAGTATATTACGATGATAAGTACTGGTTTTACAGAATAAAAAGAGACGTTTGTTCAAAGGAATATAATAAAAATATATATAAAATTCTATGCGTGTTCCATTTTAGAAAGTGGCTACATACTAGAAACTACATATATGTATGTACGTGTATCGATAATGGGTTATAACGTTATACAGTATGTCGGAACGTGTGCATCTGCATACGTACGTAGTTACGTAACACAGAAGCCATGTAAAAATATGAGTTGAGTCGATCGAAATTCCACAAACGTTATTTTTCCCCGTAGGAAAATTCATAAAAGCCAGAATGGACACAAAGGCGTAAATTGGGGTTACTAAATATTCAGGATTTTGTAGAGAGACGAACGCTAGACACACATACCGGATAAACGTAAAGAACATGAACAGGAACAGTCCAGCTAAAACGATTGTCAGACACAAAGCCAATTGATGAATATCAATCGAATCATTTTCCACGGATGCAAAACATTTCTTCCGAAGACACGCCGCTTGTCTCGACTATTGCCAACCTTCGTTTCGGTATTGCCAATGGTGCGAGACCCCAGTGTGCCGTGAGGTTTCCTAAAAAGTGCTAGGGAAGCATTGTATTTGCGGTTGGTACTACTGGCACTGCCTAACCGCGCAGTTCGCGCAAGTTTCGAGTCTCCGGAAGGAGGTGGGGTACAAAAGAAAGAACGGAATAAAAAAAAAGAGAAGAATAAAAGGAAATAGAACATTCTCGTTTACGTATTTCCACGTGGCCCAATACAGTCTCGTTCGGTATCATAGCCAAGTCCACCCTAACCCATACATAACCTCACTACGTTTCTCGGCTTGCTGACGCTCTACTATCTGTTTTGCGTTTCGCGAATGGTTCGTGAACAGCCAGAAGGCTCGGGGCTGAATAAAGGGGTCGGTTAGAGTGGGAGAGAAGATAACGGATAGGCGAATGCAAATTACAGTTAACCCCATCAGCCTCTTTTTGTTCTCGTCTCGGGGGAAGAACGGGGGGGTCGGCTGCAGCACTGCGATGGATCGGCTTTACCTTGTCGGTAACGAACTGCTGTTCGTTCTGTTGAAATATCCGACAGAGATATCCCTGCACGTAGCAACACCGTCAACGGGGTATGGCTCTTCCATGAATATAGATTTCTTTATCAATATTCCAATACGATCTACAAAATTAGTTCGATCCATGCAACGAGGTATTCACGCTGTTAAGATAGCTGTAGAATGTATCACGGATACCTCACGTACTTCGATCTGTCTCTGTGTTACGGAGGTTATGTAACCTTCGACCTGTCATTTACAGGCATGCTGCACAGCAGTCAACGCGAAACAGGGGGTCCAGCGGAAGACGATGGAGTTAAGTAGGTAGACAGCATCACAGGGACCATCACGAGATTTTCCTCTTGGCTCTCCTGCGGTGCACGATGCTTTTCCGTCACATCTTTATCATACTGTTTGTCGTCAACGTGCCAATCGGTGAGTCACTCGTATTATTTTACATTACTTTTTTTTTATCACCCAATTTTTATCTTCATCGAGATCAAAAATTGACTGTCTCCCAGAATCGTATACGTAATGCTCGTACCCGTCGTCGTGTCACTGGCAGACGTGACGTAGAAGTGTGCCAAATACAGGACTATAGAAAATAGGTGCATATAGGTATATTGCAAGTACGGCAGATTACGGAGGCTGAATATCGTGGATGGTCAACTTCTGGCCTGGATGTTTATATGGTCGAGTCTGCACTTGTCATCCAAATTAATTTACCACTACTACTGAAAATCCAGGACGATCACCCCCTAGACGTATATATCAACGAGAATTCTAATTCTATACCTAAATAAGTTTCCATGAGAAATATACATGATTATAAACAGCTGATTTTTGATAATGCTTTTAGATTAAGGATAATACATGGAGCAGTATAGGACGATCTAATGAAGTCCCAATCGATATATAAGAATGTTATAAAGGATGAATAAATTCTGTGACAATCTACTTATAAAGGTTGAGTAATTCCAAAGTTTTGTAACAACCCATATTTATGTACGTCTTACGGAAGTCACTTGAATTACTTTTATACGACTCGTTTATATTTGGATAAGCATTATCTCACAAAGTGCTGTACATCGATCCGTACGTTTTTTTTCTCCGATTTTACCTGAGTATATCTATATTGGACTATACGATGGATATGCATATATACGTACATAGGCTTTTATGTAGTAAAACTAAAAACCATTAATATACTAGGTGGCACAGTTAATACCGATCTAAGGGTAAACCGAAGAAACCGCATTACAAGATAGAATTGTTTGTCTATTCGCAAGCGGTTGCAGCAGAATGTCGATTGTTCTCACTCTTATCTGGAAACAACGTTCCTGTTCGAAGTAATTGGTTGGCACGACTCGAGTCTGGTAAACGTGATTAATCGGCCGCTTCCTTCACGGATATATCTGACCGGAGCCGAGAGCGATAATCGGATAACTACGGTCCAGAACTCAATTGAGTTCTTTAGAGGTTAAGCACGAGCGCGACTTGCGATCCCTGAAGAAAGGGGAAAAAAAAAGAAAAATCAAGAAACTACATTCGTTAGGTAAGTCAGCTTTTGTGGAAAGAACTTGGCCAAGTTTTGCGCCTCCTTCGCGAAGAAGACGAAAGGAAATACCGACTGGGGAAGATCAAAGTAGTCAGATTAAAGAGGAACTCAGGTTCTCCCTCTTGCAGCTGACTACATTTTATCTCTCTTTCACCTTTGGCCAAACTTCTGGAATCCGAGTGCCGTTTAAACGTGACACGATGGGAGCACCTAATTTGTAGATGATAATTTAAAGGGAAACTAGGGAATCGCTTCAAGTATCTTGACTTTGATAGTTAAACTTGCATGTCAAGATGTAGATATATGCTGCCTCCGCACAGTGAAAGTGAACTATTAGGAGTTTCTTTTCTGGAAACTTTCTTCGCTTTCTAAATTGACCCCCCATTACGTCACTTTCCAACGCTTCTCAGAGACCAATAATAATTATTTACCATTAGGTAAATACGATACTTTGTTTATGGACCGACGCTTCATGTGCCAAATCAGGATGACATTGATAACGTTATTAAATAATTAAATGCGACTATCGCTGTCAGGATTGTGGGACGCGTTGTCAATAATTTCAGGTTGATTGATTTTAATGAAGTTTATGTACGAGTTATACCATTGCCTTTAGCAATGAACCTTGACCGTAGACTAGCTAAATGTACAGTGTAGACACACGTATGATCGTGGAAGAATGATCGTCAAAGAGAATCCTGGAAGTCAGAGAAGCTTCAGAAATTCGTTATCCATCTGGCATTAAATTGCCTTTCGAGTACAAAGTCCATCGACGTGGCAGCAAGATTAGCCCGTTAATGCTAATCCTTGCTGACTGATTGGGTTTTGAGAATTCAACGAATTTCACGAAGGCAAACGAATCCAGCGGCCCACGTTCGAGTACCCGACGCACTCCTCCTCGCTTTGAACGTTTAATTCTTGATTGTGAATATCTAGAATACGTATGGTGGGCGGCTACCTGTCGAGTCCATAATAATTGAAACGGATCGGCATTGCCATGTAATTAACCGAAATCAATTTAAAACGCGCAAACCAATTAGTTACCGTATCAATTACGCACCCAGGGTGCCCTGAGTTATTGACAGCAGAGCCAAATTAGCCAACTGGCTTTTGCCATGTCAGCCTCTTTTGTAGTACCAACCTATAGTAATTATTGGAATTATTGAAATCGATAACGATCCCCGTGTAAACTTTTAAAAAGATAGTCATAAGATAAGAGCGTAAAGAGAAAGAGAAATTCAGTCGAGTCACGTAGACTCCGTAGCTGCGTAGTTGAAATTTTAGCCGCTAGGAGCTTTCAAGATGGCGACGTCATTGAAAAAAAAAAACAAAGTGGGAATCTATTAGAGTGTGTCGCGAGCCAAGATCTGATCGTCTTGTCGCTCACGGTTGGCTTGATGCCTAAATTCTTTTTCCTTTTCAAGGGTTGACGCTCGAGGCTGTTATTTACCCAGATGGATCTTATTATTGCAGGGTGGATCCAAGAAGCGACGGAACGTTTGATCGACTTTTCAGATTCCAACATGGTTTATCTTGGAGGCCAGTTATCCGAATGAAATAACTCAGACGAGTGGATGATCTCGGAGAATTTAATTAATCGCTCAACATTTTTGCCAAGGAAAGGATACGGAAGATGAGGAGGAGAAGGACCAAGAGGAGTAGCAGGGTACTGCCTTGATCTTGTATTTAATTGAAGAATGTCAAGAAGCCAGCATTTTAATGTCGATAAGACGTGACCGATAATATTTGAACCCCCCGTCGCAAAATTTCGCAGGGGCTTCAAATGAACATCCGACCAAATTTCAGGCGGACCTTGACTCTGGCTACTAGGGAGAAATCCACTTCCGTGGCTACCGGATGGGGAGGAATGCTTCATTCGGATGTGCTTCGGTGGGCATCAGGCAGCAGCTTCTTGGTCCTGGACTAGAGGATCCAGAGGACGGAGTTGCGACGAAGGGAAGAAGAGTCGGAGGGGTTGGACCAAACGAGGAGCATGTAGATGAAGCTGAAAGAGCAGGAAAGAAGAAGGGTGACTCTGAGAATAGTAGTAGAAGAAGAAGAAGAAGAAGAAGAAGAAGAAGAAGAAGAAGAAGAAGAAGCGTGCACCAGACAGCCCGGGTTATACATACAATCCTTGACTCGTTGTCTGCTTCTCCTGTAGGAGCTTTCGAAGAAGCTGACAGCCAGCCGAGTTTTATAAACAATCTTGAGGCGACAGGAAGCCGAAGCGATCTTAGGGAACCTCGTCTCGTGCAAAGAGGATCAGCACGGGAGCGAATTGTGTATCGAGGAACCGCAATGCTCAAAGTACTCCGGGCTAAGAGTGCTTATACACTTTATATTGGTTTGCGATCAGGAAGCAAGAGCCCTCGACTTGATCGAAACACCAAAAAGACATTCTAACGCGAGAATCTAATTTATTCATTCCTCCATCTCAAGAGCGCCACGTGGACATTGTATCCCGTTTCGGAAGCACTCCACTATCAGAGTTAACACACACTGACCTATCAGATCAATTTGTACACAGAAGAGACGTGACCCGCTGGAATTGATTTCTACCTTTAATGAATTATTAATCCACTCGAGAAAAGTACTGCAGGATCATCCTGGACTACAAATAGACCATTAAGTACACAACAAACATGTTCGACAAAATCCTCCACGGCTGTAAGACAGGGCGTGTAAATCTTTGTCGAAAGAAAAAAAGAAAAGCTAATTGGTTAGAGCAAGAGGATTTTCCGATGTTATTGCACTGGTTGTAAACCCAGAAGAGAAGCTGGAGGTGCGCGGATGTTTAAAAGGCGCGAAGGGTGATTGTAGGATCAGGGTAGGGCCGGATGTCAGGTTAGAGGAGAGAATAATGAGAGTACGAGCCGCCGCGTGGCAGGATGTGACGTAATACAATATGTGCAGTGTCGTCTGTCCCATGTCCCGTCCCATCTGTCCGTTCGTAGCCGCGTAGCGGCGAGCACAACCTGCGGTCCGTTGATAACGACTCGCGGCGTTCATATTTTACGCGACGCTCATCAATAATTCATGCTGTGAATAATGCAGGACTGTTTCGCGTTACTTTATATTGCCGGTGCCCTCCTGCCCCTCGAGCGACCTCCCCCCTCCCTGTCTCTCATTCCATTCTATTCACCTCGCCGTACCGTGCTTCCTTCTTTTCCCTACTCTTGAATTTTCTTCCAAATACCGGAAACACGTGCCACCACTGGCCATTTCCATATCTTCCTACTTCATGCTCGGTTCCGTATCCACTTGCGGTTTCATAACCTCCCTACTGCTTGTCGAGTGGGGAACTTCAAAGACTCGTCAAATTGTTCCAGGCTCCTTGAGCTCTCGTCGGTTCTTTTGTAGACTTTCCATTTGCAACTTTCTCCTTTTATTTCATCCTGTACCCGAGGAGGTCTAATTTTAAAATCCCGCCCCGAGAATTTCAGTAGCCAACTTCAAGCAGTTCGAAACTGGCTGCGTTCCGATCCACCGCAGGTGTGCTCGGTGTCCCGGTACAACGCTGAACAGAGGCGCAATACAATTTTGAAATAAATCCATAAACTAATTGCGTTACACGTCAAATTAACAATAAAGTTCGTAATGAGGTGCCCGCGTAACTTACAAATACAAGTAACTCCGGTTAGTTTATTGACACCGGGTAGATCCCCTCTGCCTTTTAACGGCGAGCCAGGAAACTCGGTGAACGGTGAATGAATCCTTCCAGACGACGATAATTCTGAGCAAAAGGTAAAAGGAAAGCAGGTACAGTAAGGTCGTCGACTGTAGAAAAAGGAATCTCATTCGTATCCACAAATCACAGATTGAATTCGAGGGGCAGCATGTGACGTTTCCTGAGACGCTTTCTCTCTCTACCGTCGTCAGTGAATTTCGAGAATCTAACCTAACCTCTACAAAATCCTATAGATACGTACTAAGTATGGAGACAGTACCCGCGGAAAAGACTTTTTCTATGGTATACCTGTACCATATACATTTGTATGTATACCATAATCATAGCGAAGTCTCAAAGATAAGATAAAGCGGAGATATCTCGCAAGACATGACACCATGGTCCAGAACCTGCAGCCGCAAGACACGTAGAAGGCGATAGGAGGTGATGCCTGGACACGCAGAAGTAGAGGATTTGCAGCAGAGTGCTCCTGTTTGCTCACACCCAATCAACTCGGGCCTTATACGGAGTCTCTATCCCCCTGGTACCATACCCTTCGCGCCGCGGTATATAATACATCTCTAGAGTCTCCATATATGTATGATATATATTACATAGAGAAGTAGCATCAACAAGGATAGAAGATCCATACCGTCAGAGACTCGTATGTATACAGTGGACTTATTCGAGGGTAGTAGGGTGGTTATACGTGCAAGGGTGCCTTACGTGTCTTTTACATATATATATTTCTCTGAAGCCGGAACCCGCTTCCTCGCCCTTTTCTCTACCACCCTCCGTCTCCTCCATGGGCCAACGAACAGACAGACTCACCCCTGCACGTTCTCTCACAGCATCCCTTGAAGAGGAGGCTGTACCTGGAGTACCTACACGTAGAGGGAGAGAGAGAGAGAGAGAGAGAGAGAGAGAGAGGGGAAGATCAACACAGCCAAACTCCAATGTACCTCGCTACCGCAGGGACCACGCCGGGAGTCTGTTTTTCGAGGAATTTTCGCTGTGGAGACTGATTCCCCGACGGGCCACGTCGGGACGGCAGACGTCGCGACGCCCTCTTGATCCTCCTTGAAACGAACGGACGTTTGGCTAATTTCAATGACCATCCGTCGCACTCTGCGTCTAATTTCTACGGCATGGAAGACGAGTGACCCTACGAGGACTTACCCTTCTGTTTACTCCAGGGGATGTTCCCGGACCAAGGGATGTCAGGTTTAAGGGATCGACGACGCCGTCGATCTGTAGGATTCTTCGTCTCTTTTTGACAAGCTCAGTATCTTGACTCGAGGACGTAAAGTTTCAGCATGACCGTCACCAGGAAGCAGCCGTCAACGAGGTTCAGGATGCACTGGGTGAAAATATCACGGGAATACTGCAACACGTTGTTGCGGATCCGATAAGTCTTATCGGTTGTCAATCAACGGTTTACGAAGAGTACCGGTCACGATGTGGCTACTGGGATGACACGTGCGACCTGGTCAACTTGGATTCTCGTATGTTACATTATTTTATACTGTTATACTTGGTTCACTGTCCTCTTATCTTTCTAACCTATACTGTTAAAGGAGAGCTTGCCGTGCTCGCTAGTCGAAGCTTTGACAAGGGAAGGAAAAGGATAGGAGAGAAAAAAATGAGAGAAAGACTCCGTTCAAAGCCATCACTGCTGATCGTGACTGAGTCGAGGGAGGCCCGAGGGGTCGTGGGTCAAGAAGGTCGTCGGGTATAAGGGGTCGTACCGTATAACGTACCATCCTACGTCTCCCGTGGGATATCTACTAACACCAGGATCACCACAGGGAACACTACCGAACACGAGCAATACCTAGTAACATCGGGATAGCCACCGATCAGTCCACTTTCTTCTTACTTCATTCTCATCCCTCCGTCTCCAGTCTGGCGTATGTGCCAGCTCTACTTCTACTTCTACTTCGCCTCACACATATATCCTGGACGGTTCCGGGATTCCATGGGAACAAACTCCAGTGACACCTTTTCTGGATGCGATCAGTATTTTCGAAGATCTCTCTTAGGCGCTCTCTCTTTCTCTCTCTTCTCTGTCATATCATTTCATAGATACCGACGTAACGTACTCTAACTGTAAGGTTTTATTTCTTTAAGGTTATGTGTCTACTGCCAGAACGGGCTAATGTGACAGGACTCTCGGATATATTGAATTACCGTGTATAGCTATAAAATTCTAGATACAGCGTACACGAGGAAACGCAGAAGTTATTGATAAAATGTTAAATCCTACTTTGGTGCCGTATCCACAAGGGAAATTATGCACGATTGGATTTCTAACTTATTACCAATGGATTTCTCGCCTGAAAGTGCATTCGGGTGTAGTCGATTGCGCATGGTTTACGTTACACTTGGACGGAATATTTGAATTGTAGGTAAATTATAATGATCAATTACGTAAGGCAGTTTTGCAGTTATGATGAAAATCAAAGTGTCTTATTCCTAGATATTTAAATGTAAAAATAGCACACTTGGATTTGCAGTGATACAGTGCACGTATAATGTACTCATAAACGGAATGGAATATTGGAGAAAAAAAAATGTCTGGCTGCAAATGACACTCGGAAATTAGTATCCAGGTTTATATTGACTTCTCTGATATTTTATTTTCCACTAGCTGGCTGGAGAGAGAAGTTATTCAAACGTGAAGTCGACGCCATTGGCGGGACACGCAAAACCAATGAAATTCAGGATTCTCAATGACGAAAGGAGTGCCTGGGTACACTTGACTAACTTTTCCCACGGTCCCTTATACGTTTCAAAAGTTTTTCACTGGAATAAGTCAAAATACTTCTACCACATAAGCCCATCTACTTCGGCGTACCCACTCTATTGACTTTTGTTCCTTCGCGTTTGTTTTCAAGGAAATGTCGTTCCTTACTTTTTTCACTTTTATAAATCAGAAGGCCAACTCGATTCGCAAAGGGTTTGATTGCCTTTGAAAATAGAAGTTATTTCCTGAGGCTAGAATAAGAGTCCAGGACCGAGACCCCCTTTAATTATAACTCACCGTATCGTTTCACCTTCTCGATTAATTACCAAACTGATCAGATTCAATCGAATCACGTGGTTTGATCAGATTAATATAATTGATACGACTCACAATTAAATTGATCTCAATTAAATAATATTAATTAAACATTATACAATTGTTAATTTTCAAAAATACATCACACCTACCAACTTGACCCACATCCATTTTCCTTAGATTCTAGCGGTAACGTATAAAATCTTCGTACTCCGACATTTCTCCCACAGCATCCACAGCTCGAGTATGATCCCCAGCACGTGAGATCGCACAAGCTCCTGTAAATTTTTCACGCGTTCAGGTAGGTCTATCAAAGCGAAGAACGCCAGTAGTTTCGTTCCCCAACAATAGTATTTTGAGCTCCCAAGTGAGAGTTCCTTATCAGCCATATTCCAGGGATATCCATAAGCACACGTAACCACATACACATAAGAAAGAAAGAAATCTTTAAAGCGCAGCTTGATTCATGTAGGTAGGTCCCGCCTCGCTCGGGCTACGGAACGGAACGTGACCTAGCATTAAGTGCCCTATAAAATATTGCGCTCATGTAAATACCCTCGTAAAATTCACCCCGCGAGCCTTGCTTACCCTGATGCCAAGCCACGAGCCAGAATAGGATATCCTCAATCTTCGCGCGTTGTAAATTCAAATTCAATATCTTCGTCGTTCTTACGTAGATAAACAGAAACGCGCGTATCTGCACGTCTCCCATCGAATCGGCCATACAATTTGCATGGTCGCCAACTACATATTTTTTTCTCACTAAAATTTCTTTCTAACATCCCTAGCAACAGCTGTATCGATTCACTGTCACCAACGTACCAAATCTGTTGGTACCACTGACAGGTTAGGGAATTTGAGCGTACCCCCTTCGCGCTCCACCTACCTTTCTACCTACAGTATACAACTTGTGTGTTCTTTGGTTGTTCTCAGTGACGGGACTCGAGCCAGACTTCCTTTACCCGCTGGAAAACGTAACGATCCCGCAGGGACGAGACGCTACCTTCACCTGTGTGGTGAACAACCTCGGTGGATACCGGGTGAGTCCTTCCTCCTCCGCGAGTGGAGATCACGGTGGCGCCAAGGCCCGGGTAACTATCTTACCATTACGTGTTCGCCTAAAGGAACTACTTACCTAATCTGCACTCTGCGCGTGCCTGCACCTCAGCACTGCATTCATGCACTACTGCTGCTATGAGAACCTACCTGCAGTGTGCGTCTTAAGATTCACACTTGAACTTGACTTGAGTCGTTAAATTATTCAGATCGAGACCTGATTGACATGACGATGTTATATTGCAATTGTGTATATGTATATATAAGGACATTCGTATGTCCTCTTTTTGAATAAGTACGTGTATATGTATATATATATATATACACACACTGTATATAACTCTCTTTCTCACTTTCTCTCTCTCTCTCTCACTCTCTATCTCTATATCTCTTGCCTTCTGTGCACGTCGCACGCACTCACTGGAGCACTGGACTTTTCGAGGCTGCTGTATTATCTGAATCATCACATAATCACGATCATTATTGTTGATCGTTTAATTTTGATTACGGATAATTTTTTTTACTCGTATTGATTATTACTTTTATTTTTTGTATTCTGCGTTATTATTTAGTAGTGTGTATTTTTGGTGGTAATAATTTACTCATCCGTGGGGGCAGAGGGGGTTGATTCTCGGTTGGGTTGATCAAGCCGAAGGGGGTTTCTATCTTTTGCTACTTAGGTTAGCGGCGGCTGTCTCTTAGTTTAACAAAGTGGCCATATGTTTTCTTTCTTTAGAGGGATCGGCGTAGATTTTATTGGAAAGAACAATGACAATTTTTTTTATTTATTCGTTCTTTTTTTCACATTTATTTTTCCTACGGTCACGTTCTTTTTGAAGTTCCCGCCTTCCTCACCTCCTCGAAGCTACGTACCAGGCTAATGATATATGCATGCTGGATAACGGTGGGATTCTAATTCTATCCAGGCGGTGTCACGGACCACGTGGACTTGTCTGACGGTTTGTTGACCAGTTCTACTGGATTATATCTATGTAGCGATAGGATTTTTTTCGGATTATTTTTTTTTGAAAAATTTCATACGCTTTTTAATCAATGGCAGTTGCCTACGTATCCCCTGGAACGACACTTACGTACTTGTGCTTCAAGGGACTAATCGCAAAAAAAATATTTCTCTTTTGTTTTTAAAATAAACAAATTTCGACGGGTCGTGACCATCAGGCATTTTTATTTAGGTTAGCTTGTTTTCCAATAATTGGATTTTTAAGTAGGTTAGACGCGCAAAGCAATCTTCGCCAAAGGACACGCGTTTCAAAAAGTAATTTCGCAAAGTGGAAACGCCACTCGCGGTATGCGTTCCTCGCGCAACCACCTCCAGCCTCTTTCTGGATGGGCGTGAGCGCTGAAACGTACCTTCGTAAAAATACAAAAGTGTCTTTTTAATTTCCCAGTGTCTACCAATCTCTCGGTCTCCTGAAATTAGACGCGCCGCGATGTGACGCTGGTCACTGTTCAGTCATAATATTTGAGAAATGAGACGAGCAAATTTACCTACTTATCAAGTCATACGTTCCCGCTACTTCCGGTACCTTCTTTTTCTCTCAATTTCATATAAACGAAATTTTTTTAATTTTATCTCTTTATTCATCTTTTTCTGGGTCACACGAGTTACGGAAAACACAACAATGGAATAGGTCGTTTTTATTTGCAAAAAAAATTCTTTTTCGTACATCCTGTATCAAAATATTCCGGAAACGGAGTTTTACATGATTATTATTTCGGGCCGAAATTTTTGTACTTGTCCTTAATAATTCTTAATCCCTCGTATATGAACCTATTTTGAATATATTTTTTTAAAAATTAATTATTTTCAATTAATTATATCATCCTGATAGAACAATCTTTGCGCGATATTCCCTACTTAATATATTCCCTATAATAAGTATCAATTTATCATACTATTAATTGACAAAGGTATAGATTGTCAATGAAAAGAGGAAATTCTCGATTTCCATATTCCGTATATATTCTAGTAGATCCTTTAAAGAATTCAAGAGTTACGTGGAATCGTATCGAGCAGTATATACATATATATACGTGCAGTCGTACAACGTCGACGAGTCGCGGAGAATAATAAAACCCGAAAGCGTTCTTTCCCCGCGTAAAAAAAAACTCGTGCATTCGCGCATCATCGGATACGCAAATAAATACGCAATTCGCGACTACCCAAATTCGTACAACCGTACCGTAAGCTCAAAAAAAAAGAAATGCGTATTTCCGTTTTTCTCTGTCCATATTTTCATACCTTCGCGCCAAACGAATATCAAATGTCTGACTATAGGAAATAATACTGCACTGTTGAAATTCAAAAATTCGCCATATATGTTGGTAAAGTTTCCCAAAAAAAATGTTCAAAATCATTCGCAAAATTATCAACCAGTACACATGCTTCGATGGTCCAGAGACGATTCGGAGGAAATTCAGATAAAAAAAAGATACAGATAAAAATATATAAATTAATCAAAATTATGAAAATTTTCAATATTATTTTTGTCAATCACTAATTAGTGTTAAGCTACAAAAATGGACTGTTGTACAGGACGAGTAAGGTAGAGGAGTTACAAGCGGCCATTTTGTAATTAATAAGAAAAAAAAAATTAATTCAAAGAGGTCACACCGATAACGATATGGGACATGGAAAATTGTTCGACCTGGCTTTTTGGCTTTTTAGATATACACACCTATATACATACGTATGAGCTTAAAATGCTTTCACGGCAAAGCACCACGTGAAACTCCCCAGTAGTGTGACAATTAACGAGTTATGAATTTTGAACGTAAAGCAGAAGCGTGAGATTTGAATTATACAGCTATGAAGTAATGGCCCGTAGTAATATGTAATGGCTTATAAATACCGTATTGATAGCCCATAACCACATAAATTTATTGTATTAAACATCACCGTAAATAGGCACGAAACCAGAAAAAGGGATCCTGACGCCGAGGGGTTGCGAAGTTATCGTCCACGTACTTTTTTTTTCTTTCTTTTCGCTGTTCGACAAATGTTTCGATCGAAACTCGACTACGTGGACGAGAGAGGGACTTTCGGAGTTTATTGGTAGGCCGCGAGAATTTGCTTGTGCGTACGATTAAATCGAGATATGCTAACTATCAGAATAATTATCATCAATTAAATAAGCCAGTGATGAGATATAAAATGATCCAAAACTGTCATTTTATTTGTACTAGTATCTAGATTACTGTGTCATATGAAAATGACATATTGTAAATACATATCGAATATCGATAGGCATTCGGAGAACATTAAGGACAATTAAAGCACCATGTAAAATCTAGTTGAATACGTAATACATATGACATATATATATAGATATATATGCCATGCCGATAAATTTATAACTGAGGCATGCCAGTGATGCATGAATATTAATCGAGGAAATTGGAGGTTGCATGAGCATGTACTTTTTGTTTGAAGTAACCACACGTAGGTTAATGAAGATAAGAAATCGATTGTGTCAGCGCGTCAATCTTTGACCTATTCTCTATTAGTAATATATAGGTTGTATGAGTTAATGCCTGAAATAATATTTTGAGGCTAAAAGTTCGTCCACGTTATTCCGATAGAGGGACTCTAAACGTAGATATTCGTTGAGATAGGAGAAATACTTTGGGACGGGTCGGGTTAGTTTAATTTTTTAAGGATAAGGAGCAGATAACGATTTTTTACTTTTTAATTGCAACAAAAAATATTGGAAGAGTTTTAGAGAAATTTTAATTAGGACTCTTGACTATTTATCCATATCGTATTGAAAGGGAACAGCCTGTATCTCGGCGTTGGGAATTCAAAGATGAGACTGAAGATGAATAGTAGTGGGGGGGAAAAATGGCGAAAAGTGAGAAATAAACGAGGTGTGGTAGACTGGATCCAGGAACGTGAGCTCACAATGAACCACAATAGAGCTCCGAGATGGTTTGCATATGAAAGACTTGGAGAATAGAGGGAGAGATAGATGTAGTACGTAGGTATAATGTTATATCTGTCATCCTTCCAAAGGCAGAAGCTCGTAAGTTTGAATTTTGTGGAAAAAAAAGAGAAAAGAAAACGAAAACGCACAAGAAAATATGGATATCACCATGCACGCCTTAGAACGTCAATACAGGATGCTATTTCGTAGCGATACTTAATTGTAGGAAATTCCCCCAGAAAAAAAGTCTCTGGAGATTATTGCGCCTAGGTAGGGTAAAGAAATCTCGGATATCTAAAAACCAATGGCGGATTGATAGCTCGTTACCGACGTGATTACTTTACCGACGGTAAAACGAATGGAATCGTATTGAGCGATGCGATTGGTCGATCGTCCGTTTAGTTTTTCCGGGCGTCTAACGAACGAGCAATCAAGTTTCCGTTCTAGCAGACTGTGAGTTAACCTGGTGAATTTTGCTCGATGGTTTCGGCCACCGCTGAGACAATATAATACGAAAGAGGTTAAAGGTGCCAAAAGAAAGTGAATACAATGAGATTAGATTGATAAAAAGATACCGTGGCGAGTACACAGCCAATAGTAAAGGATTTGTGATTCGAGGTTACGTCGACTGTCCTTGTGCTACCGAGATCCGTCGGTACTCTCTGAGCAAAGGAGGAATATTCAGTGGGGTCAGAGGGCCGAAGCGTAGAAGTAAGGGGTGGCAAAAGGAAAAGGGGTTAGCATCCCTGTAATGTATTATAAGTGGAGGCACTCACAGGGCCGTCACTACCAAACACTCGGTCTTCCTCCTTGAATTCTATACACTCAGCTTTTGAGATATCGATAAGAACCCCGCGTGCCTCTTTGTTGCTCGATAGATAGAACCTTTCAGGCCGAGAAGAGGTCAAATATTCGATATAGTCAGGCTTCAATTTCGTGCCAATAATATTCGCGCTCTCTTAGCTATCCCTTGAGCTAGTCATCGGAGAGATTGACTTGCGAATTCCATGGAGATAAGGTTAACCGACGTATTTAACTATCGAGCATTATTACGACGGGTCAAAGTGCAATGGATTTTGCAAGGGACGTCCCTGTAAATCGCGTCGTGTTAGGATAGCTTCGTTACACTGTGTGAATTGTTGTAATTTACTAATATTCAGTGATGCGTGTTGGTGAGGTTAGGTGGCATGGATCAAAGCTGACACCAAGGCAGTCCTGGCGATTCACGATCACGTCATTACAAACAATGCACGTCTCTCCGTCACTCACAGTGATTACAATACTTGGACGTTAAACATCAAAGGCGCCAGACGCGAGGATCGTGGCCTTTACATGTGCCAAGTTAACACGTATCCCATGAAAAGCCAGGTGAGTCTTTCGTTACCGCATTGTACGTCAAACCAATGATACAAAGTTTCATGAGAATGAAAAATCCAGATTTCTTAAAAAAACAAAACTCATCGATGATTGATCGAATTGGATTAAATAAATATTTTTATTGATATAAGTTCCTCGATTTGGTACAGGAAATATCGCCTAATTCTGTTTACGTTCAATTGACAGAGCGCGTATCTGGAAGTGGTCATTCCGCCGGACATTGTTTACGAGGAGACATCCGGGGATCTTATGGTGCCAGAGGGTGGCTCGGCGAAGCTCGTCTGCAAAGCTCGTGGTTATCCGAAACCAGACATCGCATGGCGCCGGGAGGATGGAGGTGAGATAATAGCAAGAGACGGCGCATCTGGCGGCAAGATCAGACGTAAGGACTAACCTAATACTATACATATTTACTATGCTCTGTAATTCATCAATTTACGTACCGGCACCTGCGATTCTTGAGAGTGTAGTATGAGGACGTGTCGCAAGCCCTGGTGTTATTTTCATTAAATATTGAATTACCGCTATGAGGGTACATGGCGAAAGAATACAATTTCTCAAGAACGTATCTGCTGTTCACAGTTATTACAGCCGAGGGTGAGACGCTGACCTTATCGAAGGTAACCAGAAGTGAGATGGGCGCCTATCTGTGTGTCGCGAGTAACGGGGTCCCGCCGACAGTCAGCAAGCGAATGATGCTTCACGTTCATTGTGAGTAGAGCTTTCATCGAGAGAGCAATGCTTTCGTCCTTTTCAAGCGGGACGATTTGACGTTGGACATTGTGGTCCGGACGTGGATAAGGAGAACCAGAGTGGATCGGCAAATGGAGCTGGGGCTAAACATTAGTGTAGTAGGACTGCACGACTTGACTGACAACTCCTATCTAGTGCACGTTCGTCCGATGCAATTACGCTCGAGCGGCGTGTAACGCCTATCCTGAGCATTTATCTGTGCGAAACGGGCTTAAGGTCTCGCATCCCAATGGAATAGACAGAGGAAGACTGTAGCGGCAGCATCGTAGAGATAGCCATCGTCTCCTTCTTTGCATAATTTCGCCGTAGCAAAAGGAGAGTCGAGCTAGTAAAGGCGCAATGGCGTCTTGGCGTTATACTGTAGAAATAGTGAGGCGGGGGGAGTAGAGAGAGAGAGAGAGTAGAAAAGAAGCAAAAAAATTAAAGTAAAATACTGTTTAAATAACAGTGTGAACCTAGGGTGGGTGGAGAGAGAGCGTTGAAAAGAGAGATAATAAAATTACACTTGGGGCGATATACCTACCTACTTCTACCTCCGCCTTCACTACAGGGTTAACACAAACCAGGCAACCGGCTCTTGAAGCCCTCGGGCTTAAGTCGCGGTTGTGACCCACGGACTCTCTAGATCCGCAATAGATAATTCTTCTACGGAAATTGGATATACGGTCACGCCATCGTGTGCCTCCTTGCTGGCCGTAATTAGATCCTGCAGGATAATCGAATTCTATTAAAGTCCCTGTCGCGGTATATCCTTCTTAACACGTGGACGAGTTGACGTCTAGCGTAGTTTAACGTGCTTAAGATACTGTGCAATTTCACAATTGAAATTATACACCCGGTATAACCTTCTTCTCTGCTTGTGTTGATCGAGATTATTCCTTTCTGTATCCTTAATGTCAAATTAATTGTATTCACGAGCGATACTCTTTGGGTCCTTCCGGTTTCATGTGCTCCTCTTGGAATCTTATAGTGTCAGTCCTACCAACCTGAGAGAGTAAACTGGTCCATGAAAATGCGAATAGCTAAGCAATGATCCGAATAATAGAGAAAGTTGCTAAAGGCTTCCTTTCATTACGGGACTCCTGGAGGCACCCCACCTCCCTCCCCCCGGATCTCTCCCAGGTCCCCCCGGTGCTTTCACGAGCCAAGAGCATCCTCACCCCTTAATATTCTGCCAGGCATTAAAGTGACGCAACGATCAAGAGAAGAAAAGGCTTGTTTGTAAATCGCTTTCCTTGTTTTTTAAGTCAAATCCCTGTAAAATGTCCAGGAGCACCTTTCGAGAGAAAGTGGAAGAAAGTCGTAACCGCAGAGCATCCCTGAAGAGTAGGTGGTAATGCAGAGACGGATCGAGCATTACCTTATCACCGCAACAGTATCCGCCTGTCCTTTCCTCCTTTCCTTCGGGCTAGAATAACTTTCCTCAAGCCCCGTTTCTAACGGCCGAAAGCATGTCCTCCCTCTCCCCTCCAACTTGAAACCGCAGACTGCAACATGTACATGTACAGTCAACCAATCCCAGAAACCTATTACGTTTCCCTAGTGTTTCTCCTTGCAGGCTTATTTCATACCGCAATCGCATCAACCGAACCAGGATCCTAACCTATTAGCCCAGGGATTTCGCTTCCCAATTTGAATGATTTATTTCACGGGGCATTTAGTCCAGCTCAGAACCCTGCTTTTCGAGACATCGGCAATCCTCGAGCATTTACCGACTATTATATCTACGCTCGAAAAAAGTCGACGACCTTGTCGTTCCTCTTATCACCGAATATCATCCCAATCCGATTCCTTGAATCGAACTTCGTCACAAGTAATTATTTTCAATAAATCCATTACGCGCCAGTTAATAACTGTGCAGGCTGACCGTGATGCGTTTGCAATCTGATTGATTTATATTCCTTGTTCTGCCTTAACGCTGCGGCTAGAAAGTTTTAATTGCTTGGCAATATTTTTTTTTGGCTATCGCCTCTCTCAGTGAGCGCCCGTTAAAACCGGAGGGTTTGCTTAGAGATGAATAGCGCTTGGGATCATGTTCAAGTTCGACTAACTCGAATATATTTTTCTTCTCCCCCATATCCACTCTTTCTCTCTCACTCACTCTCTCTCTCTCTCTGGTCCACGTACATTCCGCCATACCCAATCTCGCTCTCCAACCCGTAAGCCTTCTCCGTCGGCTCGTTGCGTCTTGATCCCTCAAGTGTTTTGCCCTTTTACAACGTTCCCCCGTAGCCATCCCAACCCTCGAACGAATTTTAAAACGTTCTCAACCGAGAAAAATCTCATCGTCCATCCACGTGGGCAACGTAGGCAACGTAGGCAACGTAGGCTTTACCTTTTTATAAGCTCCTTACGACCGCGAAGCTTTCCCATCCGCCCCTTGAATGCGGGATGCTGCGCGATCAAAGGATTATTGTCAAACGTTACAGTTCATCCGATGATCCAAGTGCCGAATCAGTTGGTGGGCGCCCCGGCCGGCACGGACGTGACGTTAGCCTGTCACGTTGAAGCTTCACCAAAGGCGATCAACTACTGGACCCGTGAGACAGGTAAGAATGCGCCTTTATCCGACAGCCGACGTGGATTCTGCCAAAATAAGAGGGTGCTCCTGCAAGTAGAAATTGCGTGAAATCTTAACGTAGAACAACATTTAATCTTTTCAGGAGAGATGATAATAGGCAACCACAAGTACACTATGTCAGAGATCAAGATTTCCGTGTACAGCGTGCAGATGAGGCTGATCATCAAGAACCTCCAGAAACAGGATATGGGAGGGTACAAGTGCATCTCGAAGAATTCCATTGGGGATGCCGAAGGCAATATCCGGCTCTACGGTGAGTCTGTGTGTCCTTGAAAAATTCCAATACTCTGGATAAACCTAAAGAGAGAGAGAGAGAGAGAGAAAAGGTAAGGCTGACTTAAATCACTTGAATTTATCTCTCTCACATCCCCTATTCTTCCGAAGGTCCCTAGTCGAGTGTTTGGTTCGTGCACGAGGCTTGGAAGTCACGCGATCGGATAAGCTCCAAGGATTAACCGTTAAACCGAAGGTACAAGCGGACCAGGGGGAGGAGCAGGAGAATCAGGAGGAAGCTGAGAACGCGGAGAGCAGGGAGCCGGGATGACACATAGTACCAGTGCCGATGTCCGTAATGGGAGTGATGGTAGTTGGTAGAAGTGTGAAAGAGACGAAGATGAAGAAGAGGATGGGAATAGATGTATGAACCGGGGGAAGCAAAGGATGATGGAGGTCGGCCGGGGGGCGAGGAGGACGTACGTGGCGGAAGGCTGCGGGTATTGCGCCACGTCACGTCAGCCTCGTCGGCCGCTAAAAGTCCGCGAAACAATATCCTCCCGTATTAGTTATCGTTTATCAGGCAACCGGCCAGACAAAACGCGGAGCCCGGAATTGGGTGAGCCATCTGTTGCCAGACATGATCGATAAAAGTCCGCCAAGTGTTATCAGTGCTAAACTGCTATTTCGGCGAGCTGCTCCTCCTGCCGATTCCGACGTCGACGCCGCCGCTGGTCTCCACCCCCTCTCTCTCTCTCTCTCTCTCTCTCTCTCTCTCTCTCTCTCTCTCTCTCTCTCTCTCTCGTTCCTTTCTATCTCGTACCGATTTGCGGGGATACACGATAAATTGAATCTACCAGCTGGATTCCACGTCAAAGCGGGAATTCTTGCTTGCCGTGTTAGCCCGAGCGTGAAAATACTCGTGATTCCTATCGGAGCGGCAAGAAAGTGACAAAAACAATTTCAGGGGTTAACGGGGGTCCTGTAATCTACTATCGGAGTAACAATTACCGTTCCTCCGCCGATAAGAAGCAATCAGCCATATTCACTGTCGACAGATAACGTACGATGCTCTTTCTTTTCTATATGAATTACAGATATGGAACTGCCGAAACACTCGAAGAAAAATGGAGACCGTTTGGGCTACGACGACCTGACGGACGGCGTGGGCGAGAGGGACCAGAATAACAGACTGAATCACGTGTACCAAGGATCACTCAGAGAGACAGCTTCGACGTCGCAGACGCCTGGAGAGGACGGTGACGTCGCGACGGCAATAGCGTCCGAGAAGATTCGACCCCCAGCTGTCTTTGTGCTACTGATCGTCTCTTATCACCTATCCGTCTACTCGTAAGCAATGTGAGAGTTGTCCTCGTCGATTGGAAAATGACGTCATTTCCTTTGGGATCGTTTAACGAAATTTAATGGACCTTCAGCAACGGGCGATTCAGCAATGGTCCTCAACGACCATCTGTACAATTTGTCACGATATTAATTGACGGTTCATTCTGAAAGCAATCGGGCGCATGTAAATCGCTAAGGCTCGATGCAGGTCCAACCGAGATTTACATTTGGATGAGTGAGAAGTCTCTACTCTCTCTCTTGTCCTTGTCTCTCTCACTCGGTTTATAGCCACGTTAATACAGATGAATATGCAGATGAGTATCGCTAGAGTGTCATAGATTTACTAACAGCCCACGTAGCAATTCAGTCCTCCCGTTAACCCGGTCGAGTCAGGGCGCCTGGTTGCTCTTGGACGGCTGATGTTGAGTCGCGACGGCCCTGCTGCTCTACCGGGGCCTCTTCGAATATCCGATTATCGCCACTGTCGGCTCGATAGCTTAACCATTAGGAAATCTCAATCGGGTCAAGTGCGCCGCCTACGTTCACCAGGCACGACGGTGTTTACACGGCGCGAAGAACATCCAACAGTACCCTCAGGGTGATCCTGGTTAACCCTAATGGTAATTTCTAAGCAAGTGAATACCTGGCTACAGTTACTTCCAAACTTAAAGCATATATGGACGCGTCCTTATGTACGTATGAAGATAGGCAAACAGTGGAGAGTTCACAAACGATCAGACCTCACAGTTTACTCATGAGTACAAGACACTTCGTAATAACCATTGCTTATGCTTAAACCACCAGTGTATATAGTGTTTCTTATGAGCTTGTTCGCCACGGTCGGGACATCGGAGTCACTTCAGAACCTAATTCACATTCACCTGGTACCGGTCCAGACATCACCTAGGTGACTAGCAGGATAGCTGCTACACCTTGCTTAGTCACTTGTCTGAAGTCGCTTTTGCGTTTCGACCGTAACGAGCGTGTTACTCGATATTGTTTAAGTGGATTTAACGCGCGGCGACACTGACTTCAGCATAGAAACGCTACCTTAAAGACCATCCACTGTGTCTTGTTACGAGGCTGCGTCTCTCTACCTTCTGAAACAAAGACCTGTCGTAACCTACCTTGGTGTATGATTGCGTTCCACGTTATCTGATAATGGCTCGACTTGGTTACTGTCTCTTCTACATTTTTATACCAGATCCTTCGTTCCTGAACTGACTACTCTTTTAACTTCAGATCCTCCACGTCCTCCTCCAACCACCATCGCCTTGGACTCTCTCCTTGTCAGCTGCCACTGTGCATTAAGTCCATTATATATGAGATGTAAATATATTCCGGCTGAAGGTACACAAAGAAAAGGCATGGCTGATGGCAAAGGGATCTCTAATGGCGTCTGAAAGGATCGTTCAAACGAGAACCATCCAGAAATTGGATTATACTACCTACCTGGTGATTGTCTTAGATTTTTTAATATCCCAAGAGGAACTGTATGGAATATCCTGATGACGATCGTGCCTGGTGGTGAGTATGGTAACCATCCAAGAAGCCTCTACCTTTTCTTTATGTCTTCTTCAGGATCCGACTACTCTTGTGTCCGGTAAAAATGTGAAGATCCGTACGTATCAAAGCTCATATTTCACCTGGGTACAGCCACTGCGTATTCGTTCTTAAATTGGCAAGAAGGTCAATAAGCTCCAGGATGGAAATTAACAGGATTCACAGTCAATAGCCATGCAGGCGAATATTCAGAAATATGGGATTATGCATGGCCAGGAATACTAGGATATATAGTATACGTGACTTCGAGGACGATGATGCTTTATGTATGTAAATATCTAACCTCGTGACACTCATTGTAATTGATCTTTTGTACGTATGACTTTCACCATTTTACCAACCCTTAAGATTCGTCCTATGGGACTGCCTGGAGATAATGAATTATATATAATTATAAATAATATACATATAACAATTGGCTGAGGATATCAAGCGGAAGAAGCCATATCCAACTACGTACACGTTTGTCAATAAGTTTATGCATATCTAGAAAGTGACACGGCCATATCACGACTGTAGATAAGACGATAGGATTATCGATGAGGATGTTTTCTCATACGCGACTGAAATTTTCTTATCTACGTCTTATACGCGCAATCTTTTTTGGCAATGACTCTTCACCTTTGTGCGCATCACTTGTAGCGTGATTACACGTGAATGAGAGAATAGGATAACTTAGGCAATGTCCAGCGCACCTTTATATTTGCTCACTGATTCTTCATTTCAGTGAGACTGTCATTTATTGTGCTAACGGATGAGGAAGCGAAGATTCAATGTAAATCAGTATTGATATACGTGTGCACGTGAAAGAAGCCCATTTCGTTTCAGTTCATTGTGCTATACCGTGCGAGCTATCATTTTCATGTGAACTTTGATGAGGTCAGGCCAGTTGAAATTTTGAAGATTATCATTTTCGTCTGCTTCGTCGTTTAGGATATTTTGCACCGTGTAAAGAGTCTCGTTACATTTATCAAGTCGTGCCAAATGTTATTGTAAATTCAAATAGGAAGTGTTGCGCTGTTATATATAATTTTGTTTTGTATCTTTTTTTTTATTCACACGAATATTTACAATTTTTCATACAGAGTGTAGAGCGTTCTTGTATCTTTGGAATTGTAGCGTTTGCGTAATTTCCTTTTACGTATAGATTGTGCAGTCCCAAGTGAATCGTGTGGTTTACGTGGTAAATATTGTTCCGTTGATTAACGAATGAATCGATGACTGTTAGAGATTAGGAAGAAGGAATAACGCGATATTAAATATTAATGTAAATGAGAATATATTTATGTGTAGATTGTAAAATACGGTATAGGACTCGAGCGATATTAAAGTTACTGAATTGTTGAATGTAGCTATTTACGAAGGTTATAATAATAATAACGCTAACAATGATAATACGTGACGCGCATACGTTATCAACAATCAACGTATCAATGAAAATATTTTACGCCAATTCCGGTGAACGATTCTTCAGCAGTCGTACTTTATTCTTCGTTAAGTCGTTACGAATTGTTGATAATTTTTTTTTTTTCCAAAGAAAAGATTAAAAAACAGTCAATACGCTAGCTTTTAGTCAACCGACGAATTGAACGAGAAAGTGTCCTAGTTCAGAAATCTATTTGTAATCTGTATTGAAGAAAGGAAATGAAGATTTGCGAAAAACAGAAAAAAAAAGATTTTCAAACTCTAAAGTCTGTCTAATGTCGCCCATTGAAAATTAATACGTGAAATCAAAATTTCAAAAAAGCTTTTTCAACGGTGACATCCTAGAGCGACAAATCCAAATTGGAGAAAAATCCCATGTCGACGGATGAAATGGTAGCGAATAAAAATAATCAGGACATTTTCATTGGAGCGTATTTTTTTGCTTTGAAAAAGGTTGTATGAAGTTCTAACGAGAAGTGTGCAATTAAACTATTGCGCAAAGGATAGGTCTTTCGTTGCTGCAAACCTAAAGGTGAAATTCCATGCAATTAATCCACTCATTACTTGAACTTTTTTTTTTCGCCGTCAATACTCGCGGTACAATCGAAATCATTAAAGAGCTCGAAGGCAGCCATCTTTTTTCCCCTTGATTATCGATACGAATAATTTACCGTTTAAGTAATAAAAACGAGGACGAGGACAGAGAAAAGCAAATATGATTTAAAAGAATTAATGACCTAGAGACACAAGTACTATTGGAGAAAATGTTACGCAAAATTACCATTGTACCGGTGGCCTAACTGATATTTTGTACCGTGTGTATCTATAACAATACTAGTCATAATGGAGACTGGCAGTGCAACGTTAATTACATATGCGAAAAATACAGGACCTATTGTGAATATTATCATCAACCCTTACACATACGAAGCATCTAGTTGACAAATATAAATGCAGAACTAGTAAACGGCGCATTTCGCACACTGTACAATAATCATACATATATGTCATTAATTATTGTCCCCCTTGTAATCATTCCGAACCGAACTTGTACCTAATCGAGGAGACTACCGAGCTGCTGAAAAAAAAAAGAAAAAATGGGAGAAGCGAACAAATAATAGCTGAATAAAGAGAAAGGAAAGAAATATACGTGTAATTTTCATGTGAGTATAATTTACTTTATTATATATTTTTTTTATGCCTCCCTAGTTACGTACGAGTAGTTAGTTTGGTATACGTAGTAGGTAGCGGGTCACGTGACAACGTGCCGCACACGAACTCGAAAAGTGATGACATTCTGGAAACATTTGTCACGCAAATACACGCACGATATGCTGGGTAAAGTACCATATGGATAAATACCTTATGGATATTATGTATATAGGTAAAGGCCAAAGGTGCAACATATATCCTATATATATATTGTAACGTGATTTTTCGATTCACGGACACAAGACGAATCCCGCTATTGATACTGATAACGTTCTCAATTTCTGGTTCCCTTCGGGTCGCCACCCTGCTCAGAAGCTACGCTTTCGGGTTGATTCGTATAGTTAAGTCATTGCTCTCGTATGATTTCGTATTGTGTAGTTGAAGTCGAGGTGCTCGAATCTGCCGTGGGGAGATAGTCTCGACGTATCCAGTTGCCCGGCAGAGGAGAGTACCCGACGGAGACGTCTCCACGGACCGGCAGAAGCCCGGGTGAGATACCGGCGCCCCGCTGGTCTCCAGCTTCGAAGGTTTTGATACGGTTAAGGGCAGAGGAGGAACCCCCTGGCCCGAGTTAAGGATGTGGTGCCCAGCTGTCGCCCGATGCCCTGGGGAAGCGGCCGTGGAGGATCTCCACAGGTGTTACGTACCGATTCGCTAAGGAACGCTCCCGATTTGGTTTAAAGGGACGACTCGAGGGAGATGGAAGAGTTATCGGCTGTAAGGATCTCGACCAATCAGATGATCAGAATGATTAGTTCTCGAATTTGGCTATTTTGTCAAAGCAGTCTGTCTCGGGACACCGACCGAGGTGTCACGAGTTGCATCGCGCTCCCGTGCTGTCTGTTGATAGTTTTTCTAGCTATGTTTCGATACGGTTTAGAAATTTCTCGCTCGTGTAGTTCTCGCGATATCTAGGAAATCGTATGAATTTTCTGTGAGTGTTCCGGAGATATAATGCAGTGCCCACCTGAGTGTCTCCTGGATGCAGTTCCCGGCCTACACGGATTAGCTGCATCAGCTCCGGTGAGTCTCCAAATGTATTAATTGGTGAAGGAATTTCGATTTGATGGTTCAGATTCGTTCTGTTACGTTCTGATTCGTTGCTCTCTGTATCGCGCACTATTTGCCTGATTCTCACTCCGACCCTCTCTAGCTCAACCTAGCAGCCTGAGCGACCGTGCATTTCCGTAACCGTTCGCTTCCGTTCGTACATCCAGTTGCGTTTACTGATTTTACGCGACCCCAAAAATCTACAGGATCCGTTAAGTCGTCTCTTCCGATAGGTTCCATCAGTTAAAACTGAGCTTTACGAGGAAAAGAATACTTCACGTCCAGGAGTGCCCATGTGATTCCTAGGATGGAGATAATAGTTCTGCCAAGCTAAATCCGCATGGCTGACCCCGCGCGATAGCTGTCCCAGATACATTAGTGGTCCTACGTATAAACTGCATCTATGCAAACCCTTTCCCACAAATATGACCACAATGATTATTCAAGTTAATGGCCCATTCTGGAAGCCCGGTAAATCGTGACGTTCGCACCGCAACTTGCCCACTTTCGGAAACCTCAATTATCCGCCTACTCAAGTATTCAGAATGTGAATGCACGTAGATGGGCATCAAAAAATGTTTGACTTCCTGGTGCTTGTCGGCTGAGGTATGGAAGCCAGACTGAAAGAGAGAAGAGGAGGCGATTGAAAACTAAAAATGGTTATAAAGTGAAGTAGTCGATAGGAACCTAATAGCTCATAACTGGTTAATCCGAAGAAGCGCGAGGACGCCGGAAGCCGAAAAAGAAATGGCAATTGGATGGTAGGATCAGAGCGATCCGTAGCGTCCATATCAAGGGCGTCAGCGTGGTGGCAGAGAGGGATCCTAGCGCCAAGTAAGAAAAGGGGGATTCTGCTGATATTGTAAGTGGCTGCGAATCCTTTATAACTGGAGGAGCCAAGGATGGGAAGAGGCGAGCTTGGAATTTTTCATGTAGTAGCGAGCAGATATGAATATCGGAAAGTTCCCAAAGGAATTCCCGGGGGATCAGAGAGAGGCGAGTCCTGGGTTCTTGGCTTCAGCGAAATCAGGAGCCTAAGAGGAACTTTGAGAAATCGCTGAGAAACCGATAAACTTTGTAGCTGCGAACAAACAACAATCCATGGCTTGTTGTCTGATCCTGTACCATATATTTCTATACTATAGTCTGTATCTTGATCGTTGAATATAATAAATAGAACAACCACTGGGTAGCTATGAAGCTAAGTATACACAATCTTGAACTCCGGAGGAATGAAAATTAGTTATGGAAGATATATCTCGATTTGATATAGAGAAATTTACACATCCTTGTGTAAGGGATGAAGGAGCAGAAGCCGTTCCGACGCTTGGAGTTCCATGGCGAATCTTCACAAACGTGCAAACTCATAAAGCAACAGCCTGTGTAATCCAAGGGGTCGTGACGCACGTTCAAGGCTGGAAAGGAATTTACAAGCTGAGTAAAATAACACGTTATCAACGTTAGTCACGTCTTACCTCCGTTGCTGAATATAATAGCCGTTATTTGGAAAATGTCTTATATCATTGTGTATTGTGGTTTCACGTAGATTTAGGCTATACGGCTGCTTTGCTCCGCAGGGAAATTTTGGCACAAGAGAAGCGTCTCGATTTACTCAAATGATTCAGAAGGATTGGCAGGATTTTCTTCTTTTTTTTTTGCCTATTTCCGTCACTCGTAAAAGTAAACGCGTCGCTGTTACGTGGTAGGGAATAAATTTCTTCGATTCACGAGAACTCCTATCTAAAAATAACACGTGTAAGCCTTACTTTACTAGATGATAATACGCAATCGTTATTTTCCAATGGATAAACATACCGCTATAAACACGTAGATCACGCTCGATCGTCAAGTTGCTTTATGACAGGACGTGCATATTGGTCACACAGTGGAACCATATAAATTTAGTTAGTATCGGTCTTTGTTAGTGCCTCCGGCGTGTTCACCGCATTGCTAATTGGAAGTTGTAATGCAACAATAACATTAGCAAAATAGTATAATAACGTTTCCGTGATATCCAGAGCGATGCTGTAAAATCATGAGAGATCCAGCCGAATAACCAGCAACAAGAACCAGGTTAAAGTCCATAGCCAGAGGTTGACAAGCTGTGCCAGGTTTGGTGAATTTAATATTTATTGTCATTGTCCAAACAGATTAATAATTGCTGCAATGACGAAGCAAGTATCCTGCAAGAGTTAAAATTTTTTAAATCATAGGAGCAAGTCAGATAATAATAGATTTGATTTAGCAAAATAAAATTGGTTTGAGAATTATTTTACATTTATCACTGCAATATACTGACATTATAAAGTACCGTATTTAACGTGCGCCGCGTAGGGTGAAAATTAAGTTGGAATTGCTGATCGATTTCTCCGCAATAAAGTCGGATAATTTTCATTAGGACATTATTGCGCCTTTTGCTCTTAAATGGCTCACTTGGCATTTTTAAGGTTATTCAATGGACCAATGTCTGTTTTGACCGAAGGTAATTCTCTCTAGGGCTTACTGGTGTCATGTGGGAGTTCAGGAACGACTGACAGAACGACATGGGTTTTAATTATTTTCATGAGATGAAATTTCATGATGATGGGCGTTAGTCTTCTGTAAATTCCGAGATCCCAGCTAATCGGCATAATTCCACGGAATCCGTAATGGACTTTGGAATGAGGGACGTTAGCGAACGTTTGCCGGCCACAATCCCGCCCGTCGGCAAATTGGATCTTCGCATTCGCACTGACCACTTGCAAAGAGCTTAACGCAATGTATCTGCCAAACCTTCTAGAAAATCCAATAATCGTACAAGTTTTTATTATCGGACGTGTCTATGGATTCTGATCGTATGTAAGTTAAATACTTACCAGACATAACCTCGTCTGAAAACTATTGGAAAATCTTGACGCTGCCAATTTCCCAGCAAACGCATATTTCCAATAAACGATCCCTCTCCTTCGTTCTCGAAGAATCGATTGACCGTCCACCATTCCGCCCACTTTGAGCCAGTTCGAATTTTCCACTTTCGAAGTAGCAGCTACTTCGTCCGGGTGTGTCTCTCGCTCCAGTTAAAAATGTCTGCTCCGCCCTGAGACAAGCATTCCAGTTGACGGGGGGATTTCTCGTACCGCAAAGAAGTCCTAGGACGCACTGTGGACTTGGACAGTTCTCCCGTTCCGCTCGATGCTAATGAAATTCCGCGAGCTGCGCTCATAGATTGTCAGAGGAAACCAAGTGAAGTTGAGCCGATCGTGAGCCGAGCCAAGTCCCGAGCAAAGCCGAGCGAAGCCGAACGTAGTCGAACTAGCCGCAAGTTCTCATTTCGCGATCCCCAAAGAGTTCTCGTCAGCAGTTGAAAACTTTCTGATCCTCCAGGTCAGATGTCACACTATTTAATCGTCGCCTATGGAAAAGTTTTCTCCTCGTATATAGAAAACACGTGTAAGATGGAAAAAGTCAAGCAAAGGCCTTTTCCAATCGAGAATCCTCTTCGTGAGATTACAGGTTATACAATCTCCTCGGTTTTTCACATTTTTTTTTTCACTAACTCTCTTTGACAAAAGGAACGATGATTCTCCATCCAGTTACTTTTACCAAACGAAACATAACTTTTACCCGGCCGCATACTTTAATTAATTGTTTAGGGACGTGGCTTTATCTCCTTTCGCTGCAATCCCTTGGCAAGTCCTAACGCTCGGGATTGGTTAGGCTGGACATGAAGCCGGGTCGAGGTGGTTTTGGTTTGGCTAGGGGAGAAAATGAAATGTTTTGACGCGCGCGATTATTCATCTTGTCGGCCTTTGAGTTGGGCTCGTACAACAGTGTTGGATGGATTCTATTCATTAAACGACGCATATCTCCTGACCAGCATTTTGTCTTCTCAACGTAAACGCCACTTGACGAATATTCATACCTGCGACAGTGTCGGCTTCCCATTTAGCAACGTCCACCCAATCACTTGTTTCACGCATCGACATCCATTAACCTTCCAGAAAAGGAATTTTACGCACAATGACAATCGACTGTATATTGAATTAATTGAAAAACTTAAATTACCATTTCAGAATATTTTGCTTTTAACAACTACTCACAATAAACTTATTGAATTAATTCTATATCCATAGCATCATCCATACTGCTCCCTTCTTCCTTGAAGCCTCAATCAAAATTGAATCAATTCGTTCATTACAATATTCCCTCTTCATCAAAGTCCCAGGATGCGATGGAGCCATGCATAAAAGCATAGACCTGTCAGGCCTATGTGCACGCACTATTAGGAATTTCCGCAAACTACACAAACCAGAGTGACAGCGGCAACACGTGTCTTTGACGTATCCAGTGTTAGCTTGTAATATCGTAGTACCCGGTGGCCGGGCTTTGTGCGTGGATGTTTCAAACGCACGGAGAATTCCAATGGTGACCTAAAATGCATCAAGGTTTCAACCCGAGTGAAGCTGTAAGCGTTAAGTGTACCGGTAAAGTGATTCTCTAGCTTTAACCCAAGCCAAACCAACAAGTAAATAGTTGAGCTCAGAACCGGCATTTTGGTATTTTGGTATTTAAGCGTTATTGAACAAATGACCACGAAGTATATCCATCAACATAGATAACAGCACACAGTGTATTCCCCTTGGCAATGCAAAACGGTAAATACTTTCTTTTTCACGAACACTTGTCAATGTTAAATGTAATCCTTGCTTAAGGATTTTATAAATTAAAATCATAACCGCTCTCTCGAGGTCTCTGATGGTAATATCATTTCCCTCTTTATAACCTGTACCTTCCTTTCAACTCTTTATATTTTTTTTTCTCTTGGTTTCACCCTGCCACTTTTTTCTCATTAACTCGGAATCGTTTGAAGTGGAGCAAAGGCACTTTTGGGTATTTTTCGCAAAGTACTTTATCTCCAAAAAAAGATCAGTGATGCTCTTTGTTTTTCTCTCTCTTGAGGTCCTGATACGAATATGTCACGATTGGTTAAACCCTCAGTGAGAGTAACGCATTGACCTTACTTTTATCTTTTTTTTTTGCAACTGCCTCCTCTTCTTACCCTCCTCCATCTGCGCCATCTCGAAAACCACCGTTACCCTAAATATAACCTTTGACCCTCGCGGCCAAAATACGTAAATCACGTTTTCTTACCCCAACTGTAACAAATTACGGAGTACATCCGCTCGATTATTCAAACATAGACACCCTGTTTGTATTTCTGAAAACCACCTACATAATTTACTGTTGTTTCTATCTACCTATATGTGTATACATCCCCATTTGTATTCAGTATTATTCGTGCATGGACCGTGCAGGAAATCACGTAGCTATTTCCTGCAATATCATATCCGTCAGCAAGAACAGCGCCCTCTCAACAAATTTTCCTCTTATTGGTCATGCTAAGGTTATGAACTGTAAAAAAAAAAGAAAAAGTAAGAGCTGCGTAAACATTGAATATTACAAACTTAGTTAATTCCAAGATCCATTATCGGCTTCCAACAGCCCCCCCCCCCTCCGCCCAAAACCTAAGGATGATGCTTCTTCTCCATTGTATCTAAAACGAGAAAAGGTTTTCGCACTGTCGCGTTTGGCACTCAGAAAAAAAGCCAGCCGTTCTCGTTGTTATCTTGGGCGTGTACCACGAGTGCGACCCAGATCCAGGAAGCTTTACGAGCAGCGACCATACGCGTATAAAGCTTTAACGTTCCAAGCCTGGTTATCTATGCATTATATTATTAGACCTTTTTTCTGTCAACATTCACCTTATACGTCCAATGAAAACGTCAAAATGAATATTCCTTACTGTTAGTCCTAGTTGACTATATTCGGTTTCCGATATTTTAGATGTATGTAATACATACCAGTGTATACAGGGTATATATACATAGTGTATAGATATAGATGTCAGTCTTGCGACACCCTAGCTGTTACAGAGTAGGTGGATATGTATACGTGTAGGGTTTAAGTGCGTGCCGCGCCTCCTCGTCCAATCTCCTTTATGTCCTTCTAGTTTCTCGAACTGCCTTACCTTGTCAATCGATATCCACACGCCACCCCAATACGTTATCCCCCTGGTTATACAGCTCGATCTTTTCTATTTTTTTTTCTTCCCTTTTTTCATCCCCTATTTTCAGTCTCTCACTTCTCGCCACTTCGACCTGGCTTGACTCTTCTCTCGGACGTATCTGCTGTGGTCTATCTTCAAATAGATCAAAATAGATTCATTTTGAATTTCCCGCCGAAATTCAATTTAACATTTCAACCTGGCTAGAAAAGAAAACGCACTGGTTACACGAGCCTGGGAAAATAAATAGCAGATCACTGTTGGTCTCTGCTCGTCGATTACAACTCGGGGCTGAATTGAACCAGGGAAAACGGAGAGTCATCGAATTTCAGTATGACGTAAAGAAATATTACGAACGGGATGTTATTCCATCGATGAGAAGGGAAAGATGACGAAAGGAAAGCACGAGGACGTGCTGATTCATATTTCACGCTTCATGCCGTCTTTCAATAGCAGGTCGTTCAAAATGTCTATGTGCTATTGGATATTATCTGGAAATTATTATCCGAATTAGGATTAAATATTTAAGTGAAACTATGTGAATTAAGACATTCTTACTCGGTAGGATTTTAGTTTTGAGGTTAACTGGAAGACGGCGTTGCAGCAGACTGTAAAACCCTCGTCATGGATATAAAACAGCCAGTACGTCGGTGGAAGGAAAAAAAAAGTCCAACCATTCTCGTGAGGAATGTTGTAGCACCTTATACTGTTCAATTCCAAGGTAGTCTCATCTTTGAACGGTAACATGTCACAAGGAACATGTTGAATGGTCGACATTTGTCTGCAAGTCGAATAAGAGCTGCCCTCTAGAAGCCAGTAAACTGAAACCAATTGAAATTTAAGCACCCGTAGCGCCACTTATTGACGGCGGAAAACCCGTGGTACTACTCTACTAGAAATATAATTTGATCTTTAAATAGAATTCGAATACATTTAATACCTTTCCTACTTGCAGTTAAAGATGGTAGGATGAAATTTCATGGATATATGGTTTTTGAAATTGTACGATATAACCAGTCGGCCACGACACTTTCATCCATCCAGGGATAAGGTACGTCACTTATCCCAATCCAACCTGATACTTCTTTACGCTTTCCCTCGGTTTCATTCCTTTTTGCGTTTTTCCATTTTCCTTCCTTCTTTTCTCTTATTTTTCCTCCTTCATCTTCTACCTTCGTTCGGTACCTTTCCACAGACGACAGGACGTCCCGTAGGAGCGATTCAATCTTTGCTACTTTTTGTGGGGCTATCAATGTCTCCGGCTCCGCAGTTGCAAAAATAAAACGGCTTGCGTTTCCGCTTGATGCTACCTCTATGTAGAGGAGTGACCCAAATTTCGAGAGAGTGTTTATCCCTGCTATAAAATCAAGTCAGAGTAACTACACGAGACATCGCAGCACATCAGGGAGATAATAAGATGGAGAGCGAAAGAAAAATTAAACAGGGTATTCTTTTCTTTATTTTTATTCTCACAGTCACTCTCGTTCATATCAAACATCCCAGCCGAGACTCAAATTGAATGAATAACAGGGACCTGAAATGGCAACACGAAATGGGCGGTGAGCTTTCTCCATCCGTGAACGCAGACAGGCAACTCTACTAATATGCAAATCTTATCATCCGATTTATTCGTTATTCCACATCTGATTCACCCTCAAATATCCATTTAGCTTTACCTTGCTTTCTCATTGTCAGGATGTGAGGAAACTGTAGGTAATCCATCCACTCCATTCGTAATTCTTGAACGATACAAATTTCACGACGTATACAAAGCAGCATTCCCGATACCACAGAAACACGTAGGTATTTTCAAATAATGCAAGCGGTAGTCTAACCTCAATTTCGTCAATTAATCTTTCCGTCAATCGTTTTATCCTATGGCGCGGGCAGCTTAAGATTTTTGTAACGCTGCAAGTTCACGCGGCGCGCGATTTAAAAATAAAATCAAAGATAAAGGTACGCCCCGAGTAATGGGGGCTGAGTCGAGTCTGCAGCAGAAGAGCAAAAGCGAGGCAGGAAAGTGGCATGATAAATGAAGGGAAGGACGATCTGACATTGATTCAGTCAGTACAGGCACCCATTTAGCAGTGGAGCAAGGATCCAGAGATGCTTCGGTCCTTTAACGCGCGTAAGGATGCGCCCGAGAGGGTAACGATGAAAGGCGCTCGTTAATCAACTCGATCTACTTTACCCCTTGACCTCATCTACCCCCTTCTTACACTAACCTCCATCTTCTCGCTCTTCTCTTCCGATACGACCATGCTTGTAGCACTTTGATGCTCTCTCTCTCTCTCTCTCTCTCTCTCTCTCTCTCTCTCTCTCTCTCTCTATTTACTCTGTCGGTATACATAGTTGAATTTTGTTCTTTCACCCGTCTCTTGATAGGTGGCACGCTCGGATAATTTTTTACGTCCTTTATTCGGGGATTCCCCTGTACACATCTCGGATGCTGCATTCTACATCTAAAGTGCGTCCTCCTCTCTTACGGTAAATAATTTAATTAGGAATGTGATTGCTTTTTATTTGTTTTATTTAATTATTCATGTAATTAAGCCAAGACTTCTTGCTAGTCATGGTATTTCTCAGGCCCCGACCCACTAATGTCTATTACCTACTACACTACCACGTTACACTTCACGTGGTTCGAATCAGCCTCTCCACGCGTTTCAGATAAATTACAAGGATGATCATTTATTTTTAAAATTACCCTCATATCCTGTCTCTCTCACCAATATCAATGCATTTTGCATGACAAACGGCCTCACGGTTCATTCTTTCCCAGATGCAATTTACTATGGGTCCTCGGGGCGTCTCGAGCACTTTCACAGTTTTTTCTTATTTCTTATAAATACTTCACAGCAACACCATCTACGTGACTGTCGTACCGTAAGACTGCACGCTCCCAAGACTTGTAAAATTGTAGAAAAATTGCTGGAGACAATACTAATGCTTTTAGTTTCTTTTTCGAATGGAAAGACAAGAAGCGAAAAAACCAAGGGGACTCTTCTCGACGAAACCAATGACGAAAAGGATGGAACTGAAGGAGGTTCCAGGATTTGTCTGGACCGAGCGGCTCGATTAATTTATTCATCCAGCCTGTTGATTTATCCTCAGCGTCGACGTCGGCGTGCCGCAGCAGACTTTTATAATTACATTTCCCAAGCGAAGATGCGACTTGGTCCAGAACAAGCAAAATCTAAAGAGAAAAGAAAGAAAAAAGGAGTCAGCGTCTAGCTCTGGATATAAAAATGAAATTTGTTCTCTCCTGTATCGAGTGGATATACGTACCTGTCAATATTAATCTCCAGGAGCCGCACTGAATTCCAAAGAAGCTCATGGAAGAAGTTCAGACTCGTCGCAGTTTCGCTAGGAATACGAATTGGGTCTCATCAGCCTGCGCTTTTCTTACATCCATGCATATCTATACACTCTGCTACGTATAGTAGATACATAGCGTACAGTACCTTATACTTATCTCTTACGTATTCCCATTGGTTGCCATTCAAATTGTGATAATATCTTGGGTAGTATGAATACCATAGGCCAATCGAATAGTCAATCAATAAATTGTGTGCGGTGATAGTAGAACCAGTGAGGGCTGTAAAATAAATGAAAACCCTATATAAGCTACTTTAGTTGGACTGTGTCAAAAATAGAAATGTCTACTTTAGCCAAAACTTTTAATAAGACATAATTGCGTCCCTAGACATAAATATTACTTGGCTAAGTGGGATAAAAAACTTTATTCAATATGCACGAATGATTATAAAACAATAGTCGATTATTGGCTTCTCAAGTAGGTTCACTAAGAGTTCACATTGACTGATACTTACGGTTCAAACTTTAAAGCACCGGCTCAAGTACGATTCAGCAATGCAAGGACTCGTTCTCGGGATTCCCAAAGAAGTTTGCCACTCGAAACTATATTGCGGCAGACTATAGTTACCTCCTATTGACATTAAAAAATCATCCTTTCATTAAATTACTCTCAATCGAGATACGTATAATTAGGTAACTCGGAGATATAATTATCACCTTAAAATGAAACTTGGCAATTTAGATTTACCCTTTAAAACTCTGCAATCACAGGCTCAAAGTTCTCTCTACATGCCTTCTCTCTCTCTCTCGCGCTTCCAAATGCCACTTCCGCATACTCGTTTAATTATATCAAAGACCCAACTACGCCGCTCTTTAATCATAAACATCCTCGAGAATCGCGAGACTCCAGAAGGCGCAAAGTACATAAAGTACCATCTGGATCGTTAAATGCGCGTATACAGTAGAGTATCGTAAGGCGTTAAGGTAGCGAAAAATTGGCCAGTAAGTTCAAAAGCATTTTCTCGCGTCCGGAGCTTCGCGAAGCCGCGAGAGAAAGACTTTATTTATTCGAGCCGTCGAGTTCGCCCCGAAGGAACTTGAACTGAAGGAAGACAAAAAAAGAGCAAAGATCCGTACTGGGTTGGTAAAACCGACGGCCGGAAAGCGGGAGGGATCGGGGTGGGGGGAGAGGGAGAGAGGGTCTGCAAATTAATACAGGGCTCAAGACTCACCGCCAAGGACAATGAATGAGCATTTGCATTTGGTGTGTAACACGCTGTAAGATTCTTAGTCGGTTCACCCTCCTCTCCTCTCTCTCTCTCTCTCCTCCTCCCAGAGCACCCCTTCGTCGGTCCTTAGGTTCCAGTTTGACAAAGCGGTCATTATTCTAATAGGGTGGGATCTCGAGAGCATAATGGCATTCTACACTGAGGGAAGAGTACATTGAAACTTTATAGCCCGGTCAAATATCAAATGTGATTACTACATGACACTGTGGGAGAGATCTCTGGAGTCTCTAACTAGTTTAATTCTATGTAACTACCTGGAGCGACGAAGACCCCCTTGAACTTATGGTAAACTGTCGAGTATTTTGATAATGGATTTTTTCTTAATTAACGAGATTCTGAAGATGTTTAAGTAACTGGAGGTAGATGAATTAAATATTAATCGATGAATATTTTTAGTAGAACTTCATAAGTTTGTATAAGCAAGAGCTATTAATAGTTGAATCAAGTATGGCAGCCATCTTGGGTTTCTGGTATGGTATTTCAATGAACCAATTATAATGGTCTGTTTGTATGTATTATTGCAGAACGTTATGTCGATATGAATGAAAAGTTTAAAAGCATCCTCGAGAAGAGGTGTATCCTCGGTTCTATGTATAGGCTTTACTAATATTGCTAAGTGCATCGTCAGCCGCTTGGTACAGTGTTGTACGAGCTTTGATACGATGCACCCAGGGCATGTCTCTTCGCTCTTCCCTGAGGGTCCCCACTTGTCGTGATTACTTCCGATTTTATCCAGACGCAGAAATTGCGGTCCGTCGTCGCGAAGAATGGCAATATAAAGTAGTGCAGCTGTATCTTCACTTGGCGAATCATCCACGAGGGTATTACTGAACGCTCAAATTCATTTGGCTGTGTCTTTTTCTTACTTACCAGCCGTAAGTTAACGCGGGTTCAGCTCTATGTCTGGTTTCCTAATGCTACTGTCGCACCATCTCCTGGAATTTTTTAACGATTGCAACATCAGTCTGCATCTTGCTACAAAGTAGCAGTGAAACAAATTAACCTTATAAAACCGCGATTGGCTCCTCTACTGGAATAGTGTCCTGGACTCCTGGAACATTACTCCAATTACTTTGTGCAGGATTTGAATTTTGATTCTAACCTTCAAACGAATGACCGCTGGAGAAATGCAAAGTTGGACGAACATATATGCATTTACCTCAACTATTCGGACAGTAGAAACCCAACGGAATAACTAGCTGCTATTCAAGATATTCAAAATGTATCTGCACGAGCTCGGGTGGAATTTAAGGATTACGGAGTTTAGCATAATATTAGCAGGTAGCTAGGGGACAACAGCCGGGCAAACCGGGATGGGGTACAGGTATTATTCATGGATTACCTCACTTGTCTCAGCCACAATCCTCCCAAAGCCTCCATTAGAATAATTGCTTCTTCATCTTCACGCTTACGCTACTGCCATGCTCCTCTATACCCATTTTCACGTGTGCGTTTCTTCATATAAACACGCCATTATCTCTGTAGATACCACCAACTTCGTCCAAGCACACTTTTCTTTCTCGAGTCTATCGCGGCTTGCGAAACCTCACTATCATTTCCATGCATCATTTTCACTCTACCTGCATAGTGCACAAGCACACCCTGACGTTAGTTTCATCAAACCTATATGACCACAGATAGTCGATATTAATTAATTAACTGAGCCACAGTCTTACCTCTGTCACAAGGAATATCTCCGACGATAAAAAATTCCGAGCTATCGCACGAAGCAGCTTCTGGCATCCATAATAGTTTCTAGAGAAAGCTTTTCAAACTGAAATCCGTCCACGTAAAATGTGGTAACCTGAGTGCTGATATTTTGCCTAAGCTCAAGTGTCGGCTGTCTGACTACTTTTGGTCTCCAAACGCAAGAAGGTTTTTAAGAGAAGGAATGGATTTCTTTTTCCTTCTTCTTCTTCCTCGTCTTTAGTGTATTCTCTCGTTTGCACATTCTTCCCACCTTAACCGTCACTTTAGTCGAAACACGCATCTTTCTAGGACAATTCTGAAGGATGGTCAGAGCACCACTTGTTATATTATTTGCTGTTAAGTGTATAAAAGCCTTTCAAGTGTTTAATACAAGCTTGGTAATAGCAGGGCATTATTGTCAGGACGAGTGTGGCAAAGTGTCTACTCGGATACTATTCTGAACGCCACCCACCTTTTATGGATTCTTTGTAGTCCCGAGATGCAGTCTCGCCTTTTTCTTACGGATTCCGATCGCCGTCCCTTCACGCTTTACGTGCACCCTTTAACGTCTATTCAAATCTATTTGTTTTAGCACTCCTGCCACACAGCTGATCAGTCGACAGGTTAGACTCGTTAGACTGCACCTTATAATCGATTGGTCGAACGCAAACTTCGTTTGACGGTTAGTCAATTTATTGGTGACGTTTTTGAATAATTACAAAAGTGCATACAAGTGAACAAGGAACAGAAGTAATCAATTTGCAGGTAGAGTGCGTCCCTCTGGGTCAATGAATTATTGATAAGTGCTAAACAAAACAGGTAGATTCACTTGGATGCTAATTTAATATTGTCATATGACAGATAATCCATCTGTATACGACGGACATTTTGTTAATAGATAAAACTTGATTTATCTTCTCATTTGAAGTGTCGCAATTTATTTACTAAATTGTCATGGTTTTTCAAAGAGGGTGTGCAAACCTTTCACGTAAATTCTATCCGCTTTAACACAGAAACCGAGCTGAGGTCAAAGCTTAAGTAGACAGGAAGAGGGATTAGTGTGTACCAAAAGCTCTTTCCTAATTGGAGGGGATTTTTTGGATTAGAATAGCGCATTCTTTCATATTTTTAACATTTTCATGGAAGAGTGCACAGCCGCGTCACAAGAAAGATTGCCATTATGTATATCTGCCACATGCAATATGTAAGACTGTTTGGTAAGTTTTTATCATACGAATGTTAATACATTTCAATTCTTTTTATTTTATATTCTTATAGCTGATATATAAAGTTTTATTTGAATAATTCGTCGGTACAGATTTCGACTTCCATGCCTCCCACTGTTTTGTAATGCGCAGCTCCCTCTCGAGTGGGCAATCGATTTTTGAATTTATCAATTTATATAAACTCGGGTTATCTTAAAATTGTTGGATTAACGTGAGACTTTCTTAAATAGTGTAAAATTATACGGAAGGTGTCTCACTAGTTGAATTGAAATATCACGTGTATAATTTATAGCCAATGCAGAACATACTTCTGGGCAATAAGTGTATTTTTAATGGAAGTAATAAAAAAGAAATCTATCTATTACTTTCCGTATTGACGTATTAAAAAAATTAACTTTTCTCAACACCATAAAGAATACAGAATTATTTTTTGGTTTGAGATTATAAAAAATATATATGTGTATATATCAAGAGATGTGAGTAAAGACAACCCACGTGCTGAAGACAAGAAAAGAAAAGAGTTTTCGCAGAAGAATGTTATTACGAAATAACAGCAGAATGAAATTTCATTTAATCTACAAGAAAAACGTTAGTATCTAAAAAAAAATCCAATAGCAAGTGCCCCTGTTTTACTGTTCTTGTTTCATCGGATAAATTTTCATATTACGCCTATGCGTTTTCCACGTTATCGGCACAGCATTAAAAGTTTATATGCTGGTAGTGCTTTCCCGACTCAGCATCCCCATCCGGTACAGTAGGACCGTAATGAAAAATTCTTCGCATCTCTTCTGCCATTGGAGGATGGTAAAATTTGTAGACGTAATATACATTTTTTTTTTACAAAGCACAAACAATTATATTTCTTATATTTCGGCCTACCGTAATTCCTCTTCGTCCTCCGCCTCCTCACTCTTTCAAACCCATATTACATGCACACTCAAAATCTTTCTCTCCTTTTTTTCTTACTCTCTCGTAGCAGTCGCCTTGCGTGGACACACAAAACATACGGATATTATAAATGATAATTACAAATTGTATTTAACATCATAACTGCTACACATATAGTTCACTCATCAGTTGATCAGCATATCGCAATAGTGGTTGACTAATTGGAAATGCGTACTAATAATACGTAGGTAATTGTATATGTATATACGTATAACCTAAGCATTACACCTTATAAGAATTTTCTTTTTTTGTGAAAATCGTAAGTCAGATTATCGTTTGACATTAAATTGCGTTTATTTGACTAAACCCATTTTCTTCGCTTCGACTTCGTAAATTAATAACCTCCACATTTTCACTACGAAGACCTCAGCTTCCTCGTCCAAGACCTGTTTCAGATGTAACGTAATTAATAGCAGTGCTTGTAATTAAGCATATTATTTATAATGAATAACAAAAATTACCATTTGTACGTCGTCAAGGATACCCTGAGGCGAGCTGCCGGCCATTACCTTACTACAAATGAAGTCAACCAGCGTCGGTTCGGGTTCTCCAATATATTCGATAATTTTTTTATTGATCCATGGTCGTATTCTCTTTTCCATTAACATCTGAAAGCGATGGTAAATACAGTAAGGAAGGTATGACAGTAACGAGAGATATGAAATGATTTAATACATTATTAAATGAACTCACGTTATCGATTACAGCCCAATCTAATTGATAGCCGAACAGGGCATTCTTATCTGTAGGAATTTTATCGATAAGAGATTTAATGTGTTTTCGTTTCTCTTCCTGGCTCTTTGTGCTTTCCTCCTTTCCGGCTTTAACGGTTTCCTCGCCGCCCTTCTTCTTCTTGTCTTCGCCATAATCTGGCGAAGGGAAAGAAAAGAGTTGTGGGATCACTAATAATATTTCTAGATCATGAGACACGCTGCAGGAAATACTTTTCTAAACCTACCTAGAGGAACGAGTTTACGTCTCTTGGAATTATTGGTACCGTCGTCATCGTCGTCGTTATTGAAAACATCCTTGACGTCGATGCGACCCTTTTTCCTTGGCTGATTTGACTGTTGAGAATTCACATTGACACTGGCAGTCGGACTGGCAGGTGTTTTGTTACCTATTGCATGATCTCCACCTCGACTACCACCACCGCCCATTGCAAATGGAACAAAATTACTGCTACTGGTTTTCTCAGGTTCACTGACAAGTGACATGCGAGAATCCTCGTCAAGATGTGGTGGCAGTGATTGCGCCGGTGTGGCCACAGTTAGAGTTGGCGAGGATCTTTTATCCTTTAAGCTTTCCCCGTCAGCCTCTATAATATCTTCGCTCTCTTCTCCGTCACGATGATGATTCTGATGATGACGATGATGTCGCCGATGATGATGATGATGTCGAGGCGGAGTTCTCGATGGTACTTCAGGTTGCGAAGCGTCATCGAAGTGAACTCCGTCGTCACTATCACTATCGATTGGCTCGGTTTCTATTGGTGGCATGATAACCTCTTTTTCCTTTTTCATAACCTTCTCGTCCTCCTCGTCGATAATCGTGATCACCGGCTTCGGCTTGTACTGTTCCTCTCGTTCGGCTTTGAGCTAAAAGTATATACAGTCTTTATGTTAATCTGTCACTATACCTAGAATAACTACTTATCATCCTGGCATCCTTACCCGTTCGAATTCTGCGGCAGGATCAGGATGCGACGCATCCGCATAGAGCTTATCGCGAAGTCGTTGGAGTTCCTGCCGTTCGGCGCATCTGTCGCGCGAATCAGCCTCGGCTTCTAGAGCACGTTCTTCGAGGCGCCGCGAGAGTTCCTTGCCCTTGTAATACTTAGCATCGTCCCGGTCGTCGTCGTAGTCCTCAAGGAACTCCTTCAGGCGTTTAGCTTCTCGTTCTCTCGCCTCCCGTTTTCCTCTCCTTTTCTCAGCTTCCTTCTCGTACTCCTTTTGCTTGCGACGTTCTCGTGCTTCCCAGGTGCGAAGGCGTTCCTGGTAGACGGCTTCCTTCTCCCTGGCGCGTCTCTCATTCTTCTTCCTTTCTTTTGCTTCCTCTTCTTCTTCTCTTTCTCGCATTATCTCCCGTTCAGTTTTTCTAGCTTCTTCTCTTTCTCTCTCACGCTCCCTCTCCCGGTCACGGTCCCGTTCCCGTTCCCGATCACGCTCACGCTCCCGTTCACGTTCCCTCTCGCGATCCCGATCTCGATCTCGTTCCCGGTCACGTTCACGATCACGATCACGTTCACGTTCTCTTTCACGGTCCCTATCACCACGATCTCGATCCCTCTCGCTACGTGGACGATCCCTCTCCCTTTCACGTTCCTTGGACCTGGTGTACAGAGAACAAATGAATCTGCAGAATTGTCCCAATGCTAACCAGGAAATGATAATACTGTACTAACCTGGACTTTGAGCGACGCTTATCTCTTCTGTTACTTCCTGTGCTACCACTGCGACCCTTATGAGACGCAGAAGGACTTCCAGGTTCGCCATCCTGATCATCCCTAGCACCGGAATCATCCTCTCTTCTGTCTTTCCGCTCCTTTTCTCGCTTCTCCCGCTCCTCCTTTTCCACAGCTTCTTTTTTTCGCTTCACTTGGGCCTTCTCCTCCTCCTGCTTCTATAAAATACAAGATGGGGAACGAGGCTAAGTCTTATGGAAATTACAAAGGGGGCTAGCTGTCATAACAAAACTCAAGAACTAGCAATCGTACTTCTTTTGTATTACATCCGGAATTAACGCAGGCGTCTCGTGATGCACTGAATGCAGATACAAGTTTAGAAATTCAATTACAAGAATCGTCCGTGATCAAAACAATACAATGGCATCATGAAATTATAATTTCTTAAAATTGATCAGTCGTTTAAACAAAGAGTAAGTGAATACTAAATGCAACAACAAAACTGATAATACTCTCTGTAACGAAGCAATGAACGATTACTAGTTTTACAATAATTAAATTGTCATACATAAGTATTGCAAAAATTTGTTCGTGGCTTTGTTGTATACTCACACCGCTGGAGCATGCTGAGGCAGCAGCATCTTACACGATATCTCGCTAACATATCAAGTACCTAAGTGCAGGTACAAACTTTGGAAACAAACATAAAGGATCCCTTAACTTTAACTTAAGACTAGATACCATAATACTAATTAAACGCATCATAGAAGGCCACCCAATGTACTTACAACATTGCAAATGTGCCTGTAAATGAACAAGTGTCTAAGAACTATGGAGACATAACATTGGAAAGGGGTTGATTATTTAGTAGTACTGACGGTACTCAAGAATTATTAGAAAGTATTATTATACCAATCACAGAAGTGGAGTCGTCTCGCAGAAGGGTATCCATCAAAACATCTTTCGCATTTGCCAAGAAACTGTCACTGTGTCTGTCAACATTGTATCCATCTGGCTATGGCTATACGCGGCAGCTGATGCAGCAAACTGTTGAATATCAAATGCACAAAAGTTTGCCCATCCGTTACTTTTCATTAAACTCACACGACGCTTTAGAATTGCAAATATAACACGTTTCACCCTCATACGTTTTACGTAAACCTTTATAATTGTGGGTTACTGTTTGGAATATGGATCTTTCTCTTCTCCAAGTATATCAGACCGATAGTTTCTGTAGAAGTGACACTTTCTTAAACTGAACGCAGTGAATAAATTTAAAAAATAACTTTACTAAGAAGTTTTCCCAAAGAGTAAAATATCTGCATGCTCTTGACACCGCTAAAGGAGAAACAAGAACTTTAGTATGAAGCATCGAACAATTAATGACACTTCCATACAGTAACCCATTGCTTTAATCTAACCAGAGTAAAACAAGTAAGTGCACGTGAGAAAGTAGATGCACATTGTGAGGAGAGAAATGGACTTTTCAAGATTATGGAAATAATTGCCATAGGGATTCGGGTGGGCATCTTTTATATATTTTTTTTTGTTTCTAAGAAAACTACAAGAACCGAATGACTGTGTTGGTTCATGGTTGTGGAGTTTACTCACGGTGTGAAGTTGACTTGATCAGTCAGTGTGGTGGTACCGGAGAATGGAGGAGAGCGCACCTAGGTACTACGTACATGTCTGATCGAGACGCTGACAGAAAGCTGTTTACACAAAATAAAGACAACAACTGAACAGTCGCCATTGTGATAACAGAATCAATTCAGTGTGTATATCGTTTAGAAGGTCTCGATCCATATAAAGGTATCCTTAGAAAGAATAGCTAAAGTAACAGTGCGCCCCGTTGATTAAGCATTTCATAGTCACAGTTAAACGTCAAAGATACATCCGTCGCCCTTTGTTACATATGGACGCTCAAAGAGAAATTGAAGACGATTATACGATCACACGATTATACCGAACTGTTGTACCACTTAAACATGGTTCTGTCCATATGATTTCGATTAATTCTCATGGTAGAACAATCTTCGAGTTGTGCAATAGTCCTGAATAATCGTATACTGCATAGAAGTACGTATATGCATACTCTCTCAATTCTGCAATGTTTATTGCTTTCGCTAACTCTTTTACAATTCCAAATGCATTGCTAAATACGCGAAAAAAGCGACAAGTATGTGCAGCTAACGTATCTAATTCTTGATTGAGTTTCCAATTAATAGGATGACTGTTTAACTTTAGTTTTTATTGCACAGGTTGTTCTTTTTTTTTATTTTTTTATTATATCTTTGCTCATGTTTTTTGTTGGTTGGATATGCTCTGACTTACCGACGAGGCTGCTGCTGGCCTGAGAAAATACGAGGGTTGTGCTGTGATTGACTCCCTTCAGAGCCAATGAGTGAGTGAAAGGGTGGTCCCCACACACAGCATTCCTAGGCGTGTGCGTTTGCTGTGTGCGACGCACGCTGCCTGTTATTATAATTACAGCAACGAGTCACGGCTCCAATTGTTTAGAGCTAACACACCATACACGCACCTCACTACTAATTACTTAATTGCTATGGTTTATCGGTAAGCAGTTATACTTGACAGTCCAGTCAGTCATTCGGTCATTCCATTCATTCATTTATCTCAATTAATTGTCCGAATATGCCAAGCATGCGCCGAGTGCAAACTTTGTCTTTCAGAGTTTGATAATGAACTTGCGTGGAGGATGGACACGTTAGTTTGACGTTTTTCTTATCGTTCGCACATCGGCGCGATTTACTTTACCATTTAGAAAAAAAAAATCCAATGGGCTGCATTATCCTCGAAAGAAACGAAATATCCATATTGCCTGCTGTCATGCGATACATGATTTGTCTCCAGATATTTGTTTTTGTATATTTTAAGTACTTGGTATTGACAAGGAGACAAACTTATTGTATTTTTTAATGATTATGCTGTGATAATATATTTTGTACGATTGTGTAATTCGATAAATAGTGAAGAATAAATGACTTTTTGACATTTGGAAATTTCTTTTCATAAATCTTGTAAGATTCTCTCATCTAAGCAGGTCCAAGTCCCACGCAATGTCGTTACTCGTGTCAATCATTTGGATGGTTCTAGTGAATTTCTAAATTGTCACTGATTTGTGAACAAATTAATTGAATTGTTATGATCTTCGTTACAATCATTGTGATTTCAATAAATTCTTTTGTCACAAGTGCAAATATTGTAATGCACATTTTTCATAATCCTTAGTTAATACGAGAGTCCATCATAATCATGAAAAGTACTAATTAATTTAAATCAATCAAATGCAGTATGATATACGCTAACAGAATATGAAAAATGTGTGTTACATTTAAAATAAAGCATACTAGTTGTTCAATGTAATTTTCTAAGATGTGGAAATTCCTATTCAGAATAAAAACATGTCGATATCGCATGTATAAGCTTATGCTAAAAATTCACTTATGTCTGATCCATAAAGTACCATAGATACTTTTGACCACAGAGCAATAAGAGATTGGATATGAAGGAAATTATCATAACTACATGAAAAGAAAAATATTGTTATTAAGTGGATAATAATTACCTTCATGACTTCTCGAAATTTTCCGATTTCCCGCGTTATCAAGTCTCGCTTACTTTCTTCTATTTCGGCATCGTCCAAGTTCAAAGATTTCGCAACCATTTTGGTCTGATGCTCCTCTGAAGACACGTACAAAAAACAATGTATATATTATTACTTAACTGCAACGATACAAAGAATGCTTGAAAACAATTTTTCATTTACCTGGAGCAACTTGAGCCATTTCTAATTCATTAGCATGTTCCGTAATAATTTGAGTAATGCGAGCAAGTGCATCGGCGTCTACCACTCTCATTCCTTCATCCATATAATCGTCGCCTTCCTCACCTTCGATACTTTCGCTAGGAGTTTCATCCTGTAACGGCGACTGACCTCCTCTAAGCTTCTTTCGTCTTTCAGCTAAAAATTATACATGTGCATCGATACAGACAGTGGAATTGTTGAATTCATGGTTTCGATCAAGTTAATAAATGTATGATAATCCTTAGAATATAAAATATTTTTTTCTGTACCTTTAAACTGATCCAAAACGACCTTTGTCTTGGCGTCAACTTTGACAACAAGCTTTTTCGTACCAATTTCCATATCGTGTAACAGTCTAACAGCCCTCAAGCCAGCATCAGGTCCTGCGTACTCGCAGAATCCAAACGCCTGAACCCTCTTCCATGATAGAACATGTCCACAAGCACCCAGGATATGACGAATCATGACATCAGGTGCTCGGTCCATTATATTGCCAACAAACACAGTAACCGGAGGTCCGGATTCTCTCTCACGACGTCTGTTGTTATCGTGGCGGCCCTGGTTGCGTGCATAACGTACAGCTGGTGCTGAGGTCTGCATCGCAGATACGGGTGTTGGAATCATCTAGTTTTTATAAATGGTAAGTATCTTAATAATGCGCATCTCTACTCATGCATTCCATACAGTCTTCCTACACTCTCCCAGCCACCACGTTTTATCGTTTCACGTGTCGTTTGTCATCTTTGGCCAATGGAATAGTGAGTTTGTCAAAGTTGTATTACAGCAAGCAAATGAATATATAGTAAGACGTTAAAACAATACTTGAAATTAATATAAAATAAATTTACTAGTATAACAAGCTTTTGCCAAAATTTCAATTGAACGTTAGAAATGCGTGTGTTATAAAAAGCAGCTTTATCAGTCACAATCTTCAAGTGGACTAATTTAATTGCAGGATAGCTGTTATAAATTTTCATTGTAAGAATAGGAATCATTGTACAACAAAATATATGTATACTGATGGAAAAAAACTATATCCATTGATATAAAACGACAATATAAAGAATATCATACTTTTTGGATAAGACATATATTAGGTTAAACATTTATTCAATGACTCTCATGATTATTTCTAAATACTAATACAATAATAAAATATATAGTGCTATTATACATATACTTCCTACTAGCATTAAATAACTTAAGCAGTGAAAAATATTGTATCAAATACACTTACATGAGCCATAGGCATTACACCTCCTATAATGGGTGGCGGAGCTCCAACCATGTAAGGCATAGGTGGCATGCCTGGTATCCCCATGGGAGGCTGTCCAGGGTATGACATTCTGTCTCTTATTTATAACCAAGACAATATGCTGAAATCATACAAATAAATTGATAATACAAAAAGATATAAAAACACATGTCATAGTAAGTAATTCTTTACATTTGACATAATGCATGATGATACCACATACTATTAATTCCTGTTTAAAAATCTCAAAAGCAATACATACTTTTGGTATTGAAAATAAATTATTTGATAAGACATCTTGCACAATCGTAAAAATAGAACTTGTACAAATGCATGCAGACAACTTTGCTTATAGCTACAAGCCAAGATAGTTTGACATTACTTGTTAATTTCATACAAATAATTAACCACGCCGGTAACCAAGAAGAAATGTTAACACGAAACTCTCACATATATTCTTAAAATATTACACTATTCGTTAATTCATACGAAAGATATGAAAATATTCATTGCGGCTGTTACGTTGAAAACGATGCCAGACTAAAATTTCAATGGAGGCCACAGAAACCTAACCATTAATAATCTGGATAAGAATGTCATTATAAAGCTCGTATGGACTTACATAGTAAACTTCTTATTGCAATAAGCACAGCATAAGTCATCGCCGTAGGAAACGTAACGTCATCTTAATAAAATCCTCAAAACGCAGAGATATTCTGTTTCACACACAACAAACTGCACCTCAATGCCAATTATCCCTTCGCCACCATTGTGGCTTCGTACTGATCAATCAAGAAGGCTGTGTACGCGTTGAAGACGCTTCGGTAAGTTAGTAAATCATACTATTATAGATTGAATTAAAATTTAAAATATATAAAAGAAACTTGTTCGCCTGATTTGCAAAATTTATTGTACTATTCGTGCTTTAAGCATCTGATATTTTGTATAAATTCGGTAATATACTAAAAGTAATTATTGTGCTCCGAAAGCCTTTGGCAACATAATGTTTCTTTAGGAACGTCTACTTCAGCTGATCGCTCCAAGAAACCGTTTCATAAAATGGCAGTGCATAGGCAGATTAAATAAGCCGTTGGCAAAATAGTGTAAAAGAGTGGAAATTATAAACATTTCGTAAGCACCGAGTTGCACAGTGCGAGTGTTGCTAATTGTGTTCGGTTTTATATTACTCAGTGAAGGTATATGACGATTAAATACGTTTATACATCATTTAATCCATATTTCCTACATTGTATTTCCCTTTTGATTTTCAATCTCTATATTTTCTGTTCGTACAAGATATTTTCAGTTTTCTTACGGACTGAAATATCTTTATTACGCGAGAATTCAGTTATTTGACAATTGCTGTCGTCAATAATGTGTGAAATCGTTGCCTTATCGATTAGCTAATTGATTGTCATTACAATCGTTATCATGCTCCAAAGTTTGTTTTTGTTAACCCCCTTGTTATAGTTTCAAACATTACTATTGTTTTAATATTTTATTGAGCTTCATTAATTTCATATTATTTATAGCTATTGTATCTCAATGAATATGACATTGTGTTGCAGAAGTAATTTTTTTTATTGTCACAATAAACATACAAAAGCACACGTAAGTATTTCATAACGAAAACAACAAATTTCAAACAAAGAAGTCCTCTTCTTCGTATCTATACATATATAAATTTATACATATATTTATTTATCTAATACTTCACATTAATTTACATTATCAATGTATTACTCCAAAATATTTAAGTAATTGTATAACTATGAAGATATGCCTTTATATACAAGGATCTCCAAATTATGAAGCATAAAAAATTACTTATAAAACATGATATTCATCATTACATATTTATATCGTATTATGTACTATCATTTTTGAAGATACAAATATAATTATATTATCTTATTTGTACATCATTGTGTACAAAATTATAAAAACTAGGAGAATATATAAATAAAGATATTGTCAGGCCCATTTTATTTTTATTTTAATTGATCCAAGATTTCTGACGTCAGTTGCTTGTAAATATGCAATATGTCATGTATATATATATATATATATATATATATATAAATTTTTAATATGTATTATCAGAATGTTATAGACATTATGAAAATCTGAAAGTCAATAATGGCACCACGACGAGCAGAAGAGATACCTCTTAAAAGAATTGCAGCATCAGGTTGTCGTTTACCAGAAAGATTACCTCCTGGAGAAATACTTACTGATATCACCCAAAATCAATGGATGCTAGGAGACTCCATTGGCTGTGGAGGATTTGGGGACATATATTTAGGTTAGTTTTGGCATATATGTCACACATTTTTTCAATTTTGTTTTAATATTTTTCAAATATAAAATTTATTTTCACAGCATCAAACGATACGACGAAACCCGTTGGACAAGATGCAAAATATGTAATTAAGATCGAACCTCATAATAATGGACCATTGTTTGTCGAGATGAATTTTTACATTCGAGTAGCTCGCAAGCATAAGAGTATGTTAGATATGATCACTAACTCATCGTACATGAAAACATAATCGACTGTCTTTAATCTTTATTAATATTTCCTACAGTTGAAAGCTGGTGTAAATCACAAGGTATGCGCAGAAGGGGCATTCCCACATATGAAGGTTCAGGTTCTCACACGTATCAAGGACAACGATACAGATTTTTGGTAATACCACGATATGGTATTGACGTCGGTAAAGTGTTTCTGGGACATGGTAGAAAACTTCCAGCGAAACTGGTTTATTCACTAGCTGTACAAATGGTAAGTAAAGTGTCAAATAATAAAATTTCACGTTCATTTCCCAATTTATTTCGTTTTATTGAATTTCTCTAATAGCTAGATGCATTGGAGTACGTTCACAGCCACGGTTACGCTCATGCTGATGTCAAAGGATCAAATATTTTGTTTGAATTGAATGGCCGTAGTGTTGGGGCGGAACATCCTCAAGCATATTTGGTAGACTATGGCCTGGCGTACCGTTTTCAAACAAGATCCGGTGTTCACAAGCCATTCGTACATGACGAACGTAGAGCTCACGAAGGGACATTGGAATTCACCTCACGAGATGCCCACCATGGGAGTACGTGTATATATAATAAAATAGAATAACTATGAAAAATATATCAACTCTATTAAGTTTATCACTCAATCTATTAATCGTAGCACATTCAAGGCGAGGAGATCTAGAAACTTTAGGCTATAATTTATTACAATGGCTCTGTGGAAGATTACCTTGGGAAAAGGCAGAAGGCGGTATGCCTGCTGTTGTTAATCCTGAGGAAATTCATGCCCAGAAGGAGATCTTACTGACGGACGTACCACTATTTATGCGCGAATGTTTTCCACATAAAAAAAAACCACCTGGTAAGTAGTTTTAAAATCACCAAACAAATACCAATTATCAATTTAATCTAACAATTTACTCTTTGCGCAGCGGTCATTACAGAATACATGGAGTATATTGCTGACTTGAAATTCGAAACGCGGCCAAATTATTCTTACCTGCGATGTCTGTTCGCGCGCGGCATCACGCGAGATGGACCGATGGCGTCATTACCTTTCATTAAACGATCTTCTAATGAGAATTTGTCATTTGCCAAACTCGATAAGAGACCCTACCTACGAGAGAGAAGACCCTGTAAACCCGTAAATGGCGAGGTAGATATAAATATTGAAAGAATCATCAAGGGTGTTTTGTTAATTTTATATGATACATAAAACATTGATTTCTTACAGGCAAGAATGACAAGAAATACTCAGCCAATAACACCAAGGAAAGAATTCAGCTGGGAAGCTGTGCTCGCACGGCATCCTGATAAACTTGCTAAGATAAGTGTGCAGCCTCCAGCATCACCTCTGACACCGCCCCCATCACCGCCACCGCCATCTTTGCCGACTTACGCTATGCTACAAGTCATCCAGAAAATGAAAGATCGTCAAATGGGAATCGTTAAACACAAGATGTCTTTAAAGTCTCAAGAGTAAGTATAGTACATGGGTTTGTGGACTCAGTGTGTACGTTTAAGCATGTTGTAATTTAATGATTTTGTAGCAACGACCTAAAACCAAAATGGATGACACCAGCCATGGAGGAGGTAGCGCGAATTAGGAAAAAAACAGCACAGTTGCCAATCGAAATATCCAATTTTATTTCTTCACCGTGCTTTTCCCCTCGACTGACCCGCTCCCGCTCAGCGCAATTGAAACGTGAGTAATACTTTTAATTATAGTTGATTTTTCAAAATACACCGTTAAAGCTGTTATTACTGTACGATGTAAAAATGTAGCAACTATGTTTTGGAACAATTTTCTTTTTTTTTTTATGTATAGGTCTCACTAGCACCGCCGCTGCAAAGAAAGTCCGAAACTGTCATTCACGAGAGACGGAACTAGTGAAAATAAAAAAAGGGAAGAACTTGGATCTAAATAAAAACTAATCCTATTACGTTTAATCGAACTTTAACTTTGATTTTTTTAAATGCGACTTTTAATGCCAAGGCGTCACCGAAATTGATGGATATATCGTTGATTATTAATTATTAACAATTTCCAAATTTTTAGGTTAAGCTAAATAATTTGTCAGTCATTAGACGGACAATAAGGTGAGGCGACATTTGTGACATCTGTCTCACAATCTTAATAAGACTGCTTTGTCATCACAGTTCGTTAAATGCAAAACGTTTATTAATTGACACGAGAACCATTTAATGCGCTGTATACATTGAACAACTAGTTATAGTGACAATAGTAATAACTATAATCTTTCCTTTTTCTATTACGAAAATTACAATCTAATTACAATGAATTATGTCACTGTGAGGCGATTATAAATATTTGCAATTCTTCCCTCTCAGGGTGTTAATTAAAGATGATATATTGAACTAGACAAATGATTAGGGAAGAGATACAATCGGTATTATGACGTGTAACAGACTTTTTAAATCCATTTTATACGTTACTGTTGATATCAATTTGTATATTTGTATAATTTCATGAAATCGTCACTCACAAAACAATACCATAACAATGTCTTCGTCTCGCTTATACAAGATAAATAGCAATATTTTTACGAATAATAAATCTCCCATGATTATAAAATTTTATATACACTTGCAGTGATATATATTTAAAAAACGAAGAAACTAGATTTATCTTTTCTTCTCTGTGAGACAGAAGGGATGATTTCATGACACGAAAGTTTGAAAATCAAATTGTAGTATTTGTTAACATTAGGACAGTGCGCTACATAATAGATCTAATATCATTAATGAAATAATTGCGACAAACAAATATAAATGTGGGTATATGTATAAATTAATTATGATATAAAATCATTACGTTTACATAGCGCTCGAGGTAATGGCATATATCCATTCTTTAAAACTCGACCAGAGTATTCTGGGCGTATTTTCCATTAGATATCCCGATAAAGTTACATTCATGCTCTGGAATATCTTCTATTTTTCTCTTCTTATATTTTCAATAAGATAACTGACGCAGTATAAAATACCCTAGACTCCATAGTGAAACTTACTATGTTAGTCTATTACGTAGGACATGATCGAAGAATGAATTGTATTGTTTGAGCAATCAAGCTTATCTGTAAAGATATCCAAGATGGCATAAATGTAATTGATATTAAAAAGAAACTTATGTTCGTCCCTGTTGGATGATTAATGCTTCTGAAATTAGTGAGCTCGTGAAAAGTATAAATGCATAGTATAAGAGTGAAGAAAAATTTAGTTACATGGCTACGATCTTAAAAATGTATCTAAACTATTGCGACCGTAGCTTAATAAAGGTGTCTTGATTATCCACAATGAAGAAGTACGAATAAATAATGCTTCTAGTTTGCAAATACGGTTTAGAGAATTCGCAAACATTAGAGTATATCCTATATATATAAAACTTTTTCTCCAATTAATAACTTCATCGTACAATGTGATCGTTGTTAGTCTCCTTTGATGAGTTGCATCTTCCTAAAACAGGACCCGAATGGACCAATCGGACGTCTAGTTGAAGTGAGAGAGTGTTTTTTTTTTACATTAGAATTAAATAGATAAATTATAAGCTATTACAAGAAGAGGCGACTTTTATTATGATTATTGTTATCGCTGAATATCTTTTTTTTTTATTTTACGTGTACTCGAGAAATTGCTCTATATGATAATTTGTAATTGAATGTCGCTTCTGTGGAAAAGAAAAGCATTCTATTATCAATTATCCATTCATGTATGTACATAGAGAAATACACGTTAGAACGGAACATTAAGGTTTGAAATTAATTGATCCTTTCTTTAATTTTTTTTTTCAATTGTCTTTCTACTAATTTATTCTTGATATTCGTTCATGCGTACATGTGCAACACAATTATAAGTGTTAAGCTCGTTACGTATAATGTATTAACTTGAGAACCTCGCTTCAATTAAATAATGTGATACTTTTACGATCATCAAGTATAACGAAACGAAGAATGATTATGATGAAATATAACATTGAGCCTAAGCGCAGAATCTGTATCCATAAACTGATATATGTCATGATTATTTTGTATATTCTTGTTTTATCAGTAATCAAAATATAAATGTGGAGCGATTACATATTAAGCAATGCGTACACTAAATGTCTCCATGTCGTATATACATACAAAACCATCATTTGCCAATAATTCATTTGTTACCATCTCTCATTATGCGCTTCAATAATTTTATGTGAAACAGGTTAGCTACTGCAAACTTTTTTTGTATTTTTTAAAAATCAATGACAGTAAAATGCAGAATGACTATAACCACTAGATTCGAACCGCCTAATGCTCAGAAAGCATTCCCCATTCATCCCGTTGTTGGATGCAGCGGCAGGCATTGCGTGTCTAATAATAGAACGGCGATTCCGTCGACATATATGCCTGCACGCTCCCTAATATACGTGCGTGTATATATATTCCCGGCTCACGCATAGTAAAGAAAAAAAAATAAGCATAGTGCGTGGGGGCTAAAGAAGCGTGTAAAGCCACTTTCACGCTGAACTCCAGGCAGTAAGCATGCGACCGTGTCACGTCGCATGTAAAAGCATATCCTTATGCATTGCAGTGCAATGGAGATGAAAAATTAAAATCTCTCCATCGGCACGTCAGTTTATGGATTAATTTATTCTACTAAAGTACCACTAGCGCTGTACTACCGTACTGTGTATTCTTTGTACTATAAGCTCTTTCGTAATACTCGGATATCTTGTTCTTGGGATTTTCTAAAGGACAAAGGATACGGGCATAGAATGCTATGTTGTAAAGTTTTCTTTTTCCGATTAGCGTAATTAAAGGAACGTACGAGGTAACGGATTTTATATTGAACTGGCGTCTTTGAGAATTGTGCAGTTATCATCAACTTTCTTTAGCAGAATTCAGTGTGGAGACTGCGTTATATCCTAAACGCAGCCGTCGTAACGGCTGAAGTGACGCCGGTTTCGGTCACGTCGCTCGCGCTAGTAATAAAAATTTGAAACGTTGTCATTTAGTAGAGGAAATATCGGTTAGCCGCTTCGCCCGAATACCGCCTGTTTCTTTTACGAGGAAATAAACATAAACAAGCGAAACCGTGAGGTTTATTAACTTTGAGATACCCGGAACTAGGAAACGGTAGTAACACGTACAGTGAAGAAATATAGTGAATTTCATACTACATGATCATTTTAATGCTGGTTTAACGTCTGACAAATATTTATATATATATATATTACTGGTAATATATTAGTAGCCACATATCTGAAGGCACCGTGGGGTCTTATTCTTAGAGAGCGCAAAAGTGGCAAACAGGTTAATAGGCTAATACTATTATTACATTGTCTTCCAAAAGCTTCCTACGAGTTAAACGCTAGACATCCGCAATAGTTCGTTACTTTATTAAAGTAAATACCCCAAGAAATATTATCCACGGTAACATATAAAATCTATATGACTCACTATTCTTAAACTTTTGACTTATTCATTGAACAAGTATAATTATGCATAGTCAAGTACATTACGTCACTACTCCATCGTCGAAGAAGTACCTATAACGATTCTAAGAGTCAAACTGGGTTACTTCTAGTGGAACAGGATCATCGTTCTTCATTAGTCAATATCTTTGATACGTTAAAAAGCAATACTCGCATTCTTAATTGAACAATAAAGTCACATATCATATGTATAAAAGTCCCGATTCCCCAAAAGGATTTGAATTTAATTGAGCTGCGTTCGAGAATTCAAGACTAAACTTTGTATTTTATTGTGAATTCTACAGCGTGACGGATATGAAGATGATCTATATGAATATAATTTTGATATCCTTTGTACTTCCATTGAAGGATGTTGCACCGGGCAATGTACGATAATCAGGATTAAACGCGTGATGGCCAGCAGAGGACGCGCTACTGAGTAACTTGTTATGTTTATAATATATATAAGTATATGTAACAGAGTAATGTCGCCAGTGATCGAACCTGATGCTGATCAGAGCGGTCGCACTTGAGCGTGTTGCCTAAGTTCAGTTGGCCCCGAAGCTTCGCTATGCTTCAGTCTGTCTCGCGACCTCGCGGCGAAGGGATGTCGGTTCCTCGGTTTGTCTCTCGCCGAACCTCGTTGCTCCAAGTGAAGTAAAAGATTCTTATTTCTGGAGGTACTGTCAATTGTGACGAGAGTGACATGTGATAAGTGTGGTGCTGAGTGCTTCCAAGAGTCGTAAGAGACAGGAAGTCGCTTAAAAGGGATACGTTTGGCGGATTTTCTCTACGTCATGGGGAGCGAGGCCGATGCAGAGGCTGCTGCTGCCAGTGCTGTCGATTCTGATGGCTCTGTTAGTTGGGAAGATTTTTTTGGTGAGTCTTTTTTCTTATTGTTCATTCAAGAAACAGAGGTAAATTAACCGATTGTTGATCGACGACCAAGAGGTTACTAGGGATACTGTCGGTATGACAGTTTGTATGGATATTTTGGATGTCACTGAAAATATAACAGGGTTATGTTTTGGATGTAAAATAAATACTGGGCTTTTGTACGTAGGGATTGTACTGTATTTTCTTGACAGATATATGTAGGGATGTACTTGGTATCTCGTACTTTGATTTTCCTCAGTTAAACTTTCCTGATTGATTAGCCGGTAATATAGTGCTTTAACGACGTGCCATCGAGAGTAATTGAAAGAGGAATCTGTTTACGGATTCAAAGTTCCGTAGTGGCGGGATCGTTACTCAGTTTGAAGAGCATTTGAACGAGAGAAAAAGAAGAAAAGTCATTTAACGACACGTAACATATCCATTCTTAGCCGTATCATGGGTTCATTGGCAGTTAGTAACAAAAGGTAATATTTGTCTTACGTGCATGTAAATAGTAAACAGAAGGATTGCTCTCTGTAACAACGTAGCAATTCCGTTCGACGATAAAGACGTAGTTACGTGCCGTTGAGTCGTGGCATATACAGAACATTAAATAAACAGTGGAATACGTTTGGACGGGTATGAAATAACTACAGGCGCAAGGGACTGAAGGTATATCTATACAATAATATAATGGCGGGTAACAGAAGGTACGTAAGCGGCGTGAAATATAATCGTAAATCGTTATAAGCACGAGCCATTCATCGACTCTGCCTTGCAGCCGTTTCTTCCGTAAACGGTGGCTGGGATCTGAATAAAACGTGTATCTCGACCAGCCGATATGCATCGCCTAATAGATATTACAATGTAGCGCCTGTGGCGGTTTGCAATAACGGTAGGAAATATTGCGTCAGAATTAGGATGAATTTCATAGACATAGATTTTTTATGTTATCTAGACTGTCGAGACTGAGTTTTATTTATCAGAATCTCTCATACTTTTTGCTTAGCATCTACTCCTACCAGTTCTTTTGCTTCTCTCGATTGTCTTCGGTAACAGGTATTCAACTGATCGAACTTGGCACTTCGATGACCCTTGCCATGTCCGAATGGATGTAGATACTACACCGTTTCTACCTAGCGGTACATAGTAAATATGGCGTCGAAAGCTCAACAACCTAACCAGGTTAACTTATACGGCTAGAATATATCCCCAACTCAGCTGTTCAATTTCAAAAAATTATAAACACATTTCACACGTAATTTTGTCTTGTCAGTATCAGCTAAGGCGCTTCGTCATTACGACAGTCGGGCTGACTTCGTCAGTGTCTATTTACGTAGCGATAAACCCGTCGTTAGCGCTAGGTAGACGGAGGATCTAATTGCTATTAGAAATTGCCGTGATTCGCGCCCTGAAAAATGTACTTGGTGGCGAGATTACGTGGCGATTAAGCCACATCGAGGTTCAGTAATAACAAGCTGAATTGAGGATGTTGAAAAAGATAAAGAGACACTGCGAGCTATCATTTAATGTTGAAATCAAGTCGATTGCCAGTCTTCGTGAAAGCGAGGATCGTTTCGTTATTCTTTGCAAAATTTAAGTGCCTACTTAATGCCTCCACTGGTATCTACCTATGTACGTGCATACATCGACTTACGGATTCATAGGTTAAAAAGATTTTTTTAGTCGCTCCTTTTATTCCTTATTTTTTCCTCTATAGACATTGCCCACCTACTTATCCACCTACCTCCTCATCCACCTCCTACGAGGACTCGAACTATTTTGCAATCGGTATTCCGCAGCGTTTAGGTAAAACGATCGCGTTTTACCCACAATGCTCTGCAGTCTGTCGAGGAGACGTGGCATCATGTAGCAGCCAACTTCCAAGACAAGCGAAGAACTTAAGGATGCGATACGATACACAAAAAACACCCGCTCTGCCGGATGCAGACTTAGAGCCTCGGGGCTTGTCCTACGTCTTTGGTCACGTGCACGCGTGCACGTGCATGTACTTATATATATATATACACACACAACACCGAGTTCAACGTGTCACGCCCGAAACTCGAGCTATGGGTATTATTTTTATTTAATTTATCAACACTCATAAGACTGTATATCCACGTTTCATAACCTCTAAATATTTTCTGCTTCTCTTTTCGCAATGCGGTTTTGCTAGTATCGTAGGAGACCGTCTTTCTCGAGAATCAGCTTCTTCTTCTCCGAAGGGTCAGAACTTTTCTGCGCGCAAGTAGCTATAAGTATTTTAGACAGAATACTCATTAAGCGGCTATCCCAGACAGTGAAGGGTTAATAATTCCCCTTCGTATCCTGACGCAGGATCGCGCACAAAGAGTGACAGGGAGGTGAATGACTTTTTTTATCAACTGACTCACGGCAACGCGTTTCATGAAAGTTGAACGGTAACCGAGGGAGACCCCCCCCCTGCCCAATAACTCATCCCCCCGGCTATTTGATGTCGGGAGGCGTATTCGGTTCAACGGGTTACTTACCCGGACCCACCACGTGTCCATGTAAAGTGCAATGTTGCACATATTAAATATATATAGATAAAAATGCATTTTAATAGTTCTCGAAGGAATCTGTGTGTCGATACATTTCGTTGATTATTCATTAAGGCTATGTTTATTAACGTCCTGTTAATAGCTAGCAGTAATTATACAATTTATTCAGGTACGACTTATCCTATTAACTGGGAAATATACATAGTATAATTTCAACAGTTTATTACGTAAATTTGTTGTTATGGCATGAAGTTAGCTCAAAACGAGCTTATCGATATTTCTTAGTACAAAGAGAGCCGGTTTGTCTAGTAGGTCGACTTTTAAAAGGTACGGACTATAGATCGTGTGGGTTTTAGTAAGGCGTAGGCGTATCACGGGTTCTCCAGCTGCATTTGTAACAGCGACTGTTGGCAAGGAAACGTGAAAGCTTCGGGACATTCATGTAAAGCAGGTTGTTTTATGGTAACAGGTACGAAAACGTGTACTTCTAATGCCGACTTTACGTCTAGCACTTTAATTAGTCATTCACCCTCGTTGTTTTCTGATTTGTCTTCGTAACAGGAATATCAATTGATCTTTTATTTTTTTTTTTTGAATTAACATTGCTCTAACACCTTCCTGTGACATCGTACAAGCATATGACTCTTACACACATATATATATATATATATACCAAAGAGTATGTCTCACTGAAAATAGGTGTCTGAAACAACGTGTTGCATTTTTTTTTTTCATTCTCGAAACTTCTTTTTTGCATTTTGTATAATGCCTCAAATATACACTTGCCTCGCAGTGCCGACTGCGTTCATAACTCAGCAACGAGGTTACACGCTCTGAAAAGAAAATATGCAAGCGTCGCAGAAACGCGAGTCGGTCCCCTGTATTTTTTTTTTTTTTTTTTTTTTTTTTTTTTTTTTTTTTTTTT